TTGCACAAAAGTTGAACGTTTTCTGTATACTTAATTTAAGTTTATTTTCAATTGTACAAAGATCGCACATTTTCAATACACTATAAAATCGACATGGCCATTTTTATCCAAAAAACTGCAATAATTGTATGATTTCCGCACGGACTTGAACAAATATTGCACAAAAATTGGATGATCTTTTTTCATAGGGATGTGATATACGTGTATTATTGGATGTAATATTTAAGACACAAGTTGAATCTGTTCAGATTTTAAAGCCAGTTTCGAATATTTTTTAATTAACATATAATAAATATTAAGGTTTACGATTTTTGATCAATGATCCTATTCAAAATGACTTTTTTAATACCTTTTGAGTAGCGTCTCCAATATGTAGATATGGCATGATACTGATTTAATAGCTAAAGTTAACTCTCTCATCTCAAAATCTGGTGTAATAAAGTGGCATGTGATACCAAGAAATCCTAGCTTATTGCAAGAAGTCCAAAGGTCGCAGGTTGGTGAAACTGAATTTGAATTTTCATGGATATATTGCTTTCAAAGTTTCATTTAATGCATTAATAAAACGATGGAGGAGATCCTCTATAAAAAAATTTTATCCATTATTTCTATTTCTGTAAAAACTCCGTAAAATGATCCTTTCACCGTTTCACGTATCCATTCACGGAAAATGTAAATTATTCAATAAATTCCGTGATATAAGGTTATTACTTTTTTTATAGGGAGATAAAGCGATTAAAAATCTAAAATAAGCCATTCAAAGAGAGGTGCTTCCAAATATTTTTGTCGATCTTGTTGTGGAGGTAAATCTGATATATTTGGTATGAAGGTTAAAATATCATCCGAACTGCGAAACGAACGTTTTAAAGATGATGTAGCTGTTAAAGGTATAAAATGTTCATAAATTTTATGCTTTCATACATACCGGTTAAATAATATTGCCAATTGAACCTGATGTTTCAACTTTTGCAGCACAAAGTTTACCCTAATGTTTGATTACGCCCAAATACAAATTTTTTTTGGATCTGTTGAATGATTTTTTTCTTTGCTCCGATTATATATTCAACTGTAGAGTTTCAAACCTCTATTGTTTTTGACTTGAACCTTTATTTAATTTCCTAGTCTTTCAAATAAGTTTATGTTAAGCTTCAACATTTCTTCAGTAACTATTCGCATCCGGTAATAGCCGATTCCTAGATATTTTTGGCGTTTAGTCAAAACCGCTCTAGTTCAACTGAAGAAAATTTTGGGTCTGTGAACCGATTATGTGTCGATCTTCAAGTCTTTTTCTGGAATATTATCATTCTACACAGTGAATGTTCTTTTGAAATTCTATAAGTTAACATATTTGGAAGTGATATACTCTAGAATTTGTTAATAAGTCTTCCTTTTGGAAGTGTTTCTGCATAAAGTTTTGCACGTTGATCATTATATTTATATATTTAGTCTAGAATAATCTTGGCAGATCCGGTTAATCGGTTAAAATTATCCGGAATACAATGTAGGATAATCCGAATTAATTTTAGGATATTATTCGTTCAAGAAAAGTTCTATTCGCTGAACACAACATCAACTAATTACACTTGATTTTGTATTCATAAAATTCATAAATGATTTTCCAAATTAATACAAACAAAGAAGATTGAAATTCTATAACAGGAATGGTGCTTGGCATTGAACACACGGAAATATACTCCAATCCGCCATTTTGTACCCTAGTATAATTATTGTTTAGCTACCAATTCGTAGTTTTGTACCGTCTAACACTACATTTTATCTCGGATCTTAAAAGTGAGGGACGTTTGAAAGAATGTTTCAAGAATGTGACACGTGCGTAAAGACAAATATGTATATAGAAATCATCATGTGATAACATTTTTTGATTCTATTATAAAAGCAGCAGATAATTTAACGAATTTTATCACTATTGAATTTTGAAATTTCAACTTGATAAGTAATATATAACAATAATGTCAGACGAAAATTGCCAGGAATTTCTTTTCGTAGAGGCTTGCTTTTCGATCTTCCCTATTAAATCAGAAAGATTACGACTTTTTGACATGTTTAATTTTGAATTGAAGAAATATATTCCTTATATCGTTATCACTATAATACTCATAACCGCAATGATTCCAATTAAAAAATTTAGAGATTTTAGGAAAATAATCTTTAATTTCTTAATATTATTTAATATGTTAGTTTTTCCATGTATGTTCTTTTATGCGATGGAAGGTCTCAGCGGTACGACAATAACGTTTATAATTTCAAGTTGTTTAGTAACAGTGATCTTAGTGGCACCGTTAATTTATAAAAAATATAAGGGTTTACCAATAAATGAAAAAACAACAACTTTTATACTCCTGCTGGTACTAGTTTTAGGAATACTTGCATTATTTATTTTTAATATTGTACTACTTTACAAATCGGAAGGTCCCAGCGCTACATTCATCATCTTGATAGCATCAACCTGTATAATGGTAGTAATCGCTATGGCGGTATTGATTTACAATTGCCAATTCCTATCAAACACTGTAAGAATGATCGTTTTAGGAGTTTCAATTCTAATATTAGTCTTGTCGGTGCTTGGTTTATTTGGTTTATCTATTTATTCCATAGTAATGGTTATCAAGTCTTTAAAATTTAAATTCAAAATTAAGTTAAATTTAAACGCATATTTATTTATTAATTACGTGTTAGGAATTATAATTCTTTTTTTACATAACAACATAATTGGACCTATATTATTTTATCTTGTAAGTGGAATAGATTTCTACATTATTTATTATTTATTAACAGAATTTGTCAACCCAATTTCACTTTTATTATTCTGGGCAAGTTTGTGGTATATATTTTTTGGTATTTATACTGCTATTGAAAGTTTTATCGCAGGAAAAAAAGATATAATTAAAGAAAATCCTGATAGTAATGACATGTTAGATGATATGATTACTGTTAGTTTCACCGAGAATTAGTAGCTTAGAATATTTTAACAAAAAGTATAGTGAATTTTGGTAGATACTAGAAAGATAAAATATATAGTTAGAAAATTTTCGATTATATAAATAGTCCGAGTATCTCTTCAATTTTATATATCATAATTTTAATTAAAGATAGTAAAAATTTCATTTTATTAATATCAATACTGTTAAAAATATTGTATATAATGTAATTTTTTACGAAATATAAAGTAAACGAAATATATAAAATAAAAAATTAATAAATTAGCATCGAGTTATTTACAAATAACACGGTAATAACACGGTAATAGTTTTTTTTTTTGACATTTAGTATGTCTAAGAACAGCACTGCGTTACTAATAAAATTCGGGGCCGATTTTGTGCTAGAACAAAATCTTCAAAAAGGATATTTTCATAGACGACATATTAACTATAAATAAAAGTCATATGATATATTGAAAAAATACTGAAAAAAAAAGAATTTGAAAAAAAAAAAAATTATACGTTCATACGCAAAATAATGAGTTTAATGTACGCGCGTTTGATTTACACCTTAAAATATAGGAAATTTCAATATTTTATTTTGCTATATTGCGTTATTTACATTAAAAACATAATTTTTAGCTTTCAAAGTTGTTTTTAAAGACTTTTTTTGAAATATTTTTATTATTAGAACCAGGTAAAAGTTTATGGTACTTCTGTTTGTGAAATGGGTGGAAATCTATTCCGCGCGTAAGATGTGAAAACCGCTTTTTTTTTATTATCGCTATTATCCCCGAATTTTATTAGTAACGCAGTGCCGATTTTGAGACAAATCGCCAATTAATGGATTATTATTTTTTTCAAGTACCATTTTTTTAATCAAACAGGGCAGTGACATATATTAGTTTCATGGGCTCCACCCCAGGTAAGATCTTTTTTAACCAATAATATTCAATTATACATATAATACTAATTTTATCCAAGAAAAATGTTTAATTTGTGTCACGTAAGATTTTGCCTCTAAAACATTAGCTAATACAGTATACCTAAAATCTATTAATTTTTTTCATATATTGTATTATATTTTGCTTGCTGGCGAAAACAAAAAATTTTTTTGTAAGATAAATCAGTAAACATCCGAATGATGGGTGTAACATAAATGTAACCACAATTATCTTGTATGACAAAATACTTACAATAAACATGCCTTTACTCTTCGATAATAGTATTGTATTGTCATTAAACTCTTTTTTAATGTTTTATTGTTTCTATTTATTTTCATATGCAACTCTCATTCAATTTCACCCAAATAAAGTTTAATGTAGGCGTAATTTGTGACGATTAGCCGCGACATATCATTGTTGTACGCAGTGACTGTTTATTACATGTGCATACGTACATGTCCATTATGCGCAGCTTCAAACTGAAAATCGATACCTTTATTGAGTGATCACATGGTTACATGGGGGTAAGTGCTCATTTTCATATATAAGGGTATATGAAAAAAAATAATATTAATTTTACTTTTTTACGAGAATTGTTATATTTACTTTTTTAATATTAACAATGTCGCAAATTCGTAAAGATAATACAGCTTGTTTACCACGTTTAAAACGTGAAATAGTTGAATTATATAATGAACCACTCAAAGGAATCAAAGTGAAGTTACACGAAAATGATATAACTTCAATGTGTTTAATATTAACTCTCCATCAAGGACCATATAAAAACTTAAGGTTACATTATAATGTTAAGATACCACAGGGTTATCCTCAAATAGCACCTATTGTTACAATACAAACACCAGTAAGACATCCTAATGTTTTCGGAACGTTTATTTGTGCTGATATATTACAAGCTCACCATCATCGTAGTTCTGATTATTATAATGGTGGATATACTCCTGGTTATTTACTTAAATATATTTTTTTACAAATATTAAGCTTCTTTTCTGATAATAATGTTGAACAGGAGTTTGGTTTTGTAGAACAAATTAATTCCGATCACGAAGATTTTAGGACAACTTCTGAAAAAGTTGTAAAAAAATTTGAATGTAAAATATGTGGTTATAATGATTTGAAAGCTTCTAAACCTTTAATGCCAATCCTTACTGATAAGGAATTACAAAAAGAGATGAAAGAGATGGATTCCGGTTGTTCCAGTATATTATCTAGCGTAAAGGTAAACCCAAAAAATATTACCGTGAAAGATTCTTCATACGTTTCAACAACTACGGTAAATGATTTAGATGATGATGCTTGGTTACATATTATAGAATTTTTACCGGATCGTGATATTGTGGTCTTGTCGAATGTTTATGCACGTATTCGTACTCTTGTTCAATTCTATAATATATTAACTCGACGACAATTAGTTTGTTTTTTTCTAAGAAAAACTTTTAGAGAATGCGTTCTTGGAGTTGGAGTAAATGCTATTGGACGAATTGATAAAAGAAAAATTACTATAAGTGAATTTGATCTCTTCTCATATGAAGCATTTAAAGATCATGGTTTACGAGAAGGAATTTGGGGTGGCAATTTCACGAATTTTCTTCCTCTAGTGTTAAATAAAACCCATTTCAATCGTGCTTTACCTATAATAAAATCTTCCTTAATGGCATTACGTGGAGAAATTGGAAAACCATGGAATTCTTCAGCAATTCTAAAAACAATTCCTAGTCTTATGAATACAACTGTGGTCGCCCTAATGAAAGCTTGTGATGAAAGTGGCCAGCCTTCAAGATCAAAAGTTTTAAAAGCTTCTGAGAAAGCATTACAAGGATATTGTCTTTTGTTGCATCTATTATTAAAGTTATCAAAACAATTTCCTGAAATTATTACCGAAGCTGAAAATAAAGTTAAAGCATTTAATCGAGATAGAAGAAATCGTCAGAAATCTTCGACACCTGATTTAGGAGAATTCATGATTTATTTTTTTTTAGCAAAAAATGTTTCCTGGTCTGAATTCGTTCCTTGTTTCTTGAAAGAATTATTATCACGTAACGTAGTTTGGTATTTATGTAAAGTTCCTGGATTAGCATTTCTTGAACCAGAAGATTATGTTTCTAAATATAGAGTGGAAGAAACTTTTACTCAAAGTGGAACTTCATTACGACTGGTTATGTTTCAAATTGCATTCATGAATATGGTTAAAGGAAAAGAAGATGATATGGATAGAAGATATGGATACCCTTCAAACGAAATGAGTAATTCTCTTCTTTCTCTTATCAAGGAAATTTATGCGGCAAAAACCTGGAATGTTTTTTTTAAAGTGATTGGTTTTCCATTACCAGAAAAAAATTGGGAATCAGAAATTTGTGACATGCTAACAAACGCAGTGAGAGATAGTGAAGCAAGTAAATATCACCAAAACCCTTATACAAATAATGAATTATTTTATCTAAGGAGAACAAATGAAGCGAATATTCCTACTCCTAATAGTTGGTTAAATGATGAAAATAATAAAGTCTCTGAAATAGAGAAATATGGAGTCGTGAAATTTTTGACTTTTCAACCAGGTGAAAGAAATATAAGGGAGAATGAAAATAAAAGACATTCCTTTTCTTTTACATCCAGAGGGAATGATAATAATAATAATAATAATAACATTAATATTATTAATGATAATTATGGGATTGGCGGGATTGGTGGACGTGGTGGGCGTGGTGGAGGGCGTGGTGGTCGTGGTCGTGGTCGTGGTTGGCGTGGACGTGGTGGCAATGTAAATATGAACCAAAGACATACGTAATTAATTATATAATAATAATTTGTACAAAATTTCGAAATGCTTGTATAGTGAATTTTATATTAAATAAAGTTTTTTTTTTCAATAAACAAATATTTATTATTTCAGATCATAAAATTTTTGAGCACACATGTTCTACAGCCGTTAAAACCTTATTATTATTATTGGATTAAATTAACGTTAATATTAAATTTCGCTGCTGCACAAAAGATAACAATTCTGAATTAAAAAACCAAAAAATTTGCATAATTAACTCAAAAATAATTATTATTATATCATATTACATTCCATATATTTTACATTTATAATTCTAACTCCTCTTTAAATATGAACTTCTTGTTACAGTATCTAAATAAACTGAAAAAAGACGACAGCGAGAAATGGAAATAATAGGCGTAGATAAAGAATTAAAAAGCGTTAAGCTTTGTGAGAGTAGTAAGTCTACTAAAAGCAAAATTAAGGGAAATATTCTAACTCATAATACAGTTCACTCTCATATTACATAACTTGATATAACAAAGAAAAGTCATACTTCTTGATAACGAATTTTAAAGGAAATTTTCTATAGCTCGTAACTCGAATTTAAATATTGTTATACCGCTATACCAAATTTATTAAGGTGTTGCACAGTTTATTAACGAATTTTATTTGTGTGAAATTTATGTGATCCATTACAACTAACTTAAGTCACTACTCTAAAAATCACTTGACCTGTAAAGTCACGTGTTTATAGAGAGTGAAAATTTGCTCACAAATCTCGCGCCCACATATATTATATTTTTCAAAATTATAATATTCAAAAATAGATAAACCATCAGTATCATAATAAAAGAATTGCAGGGAGAAACAAGAACAGAATTAATAGCTGCTAATTCTAGAAAATATTGGGTTGAATGAGAACAAAACACGTACTCATGATATCGAAGAATTAAGATTATTTTGATTTCGGAGATAAATGAGATTATTACAATAGAAGTCTATAAGATCGTAGTTGAATTGTAGGGTAAACATCTATCCTTTGATATGATTCAAATAAAGGAATATCTAAATATCTATAATTTAGTTGCTTTACAACGAACGTTAAATTAATCGTCACATATTTTTGTCTCTATAGTAAACGTGGAATAACTTCTTCTTTTCTAGTAATTCTACTTACCCATATCGGAGTGTCAATTTTAAAATTACAATGTTTATTCGCATTTATCAATAAAAAAGAAATGATAGGTCCTTTAAAATACTAATAATACATTGTGGTCAATATGTGATGTAAATATACTATTAATTCTCCGCACGTTAATTAATTTAAAAATATAATCAATTGTTGAAAATACTTTTTTAGTTTTGTGATTAAAAGAGTTAAAATAAATCATTGCTGCAATAAGAATTATAAAATTCTTTCGAATACGGTTATAAAACCAGCAATATGACGGGGAATATCAAAGCCATTCATACGTTTGTAATTTCCCAAGAAAAATATCTTTGAACTTCGCCTGTTACAAGATAGTTAGGCGGCCCAACAATATCAAAATGTTGATATGCGATTTTGCATTGCTTCTTTAGTTATAACTGAATCGTGAGTAATTTTCGATGAGATTATTTGTATGATATGCAAATATGTTATTGATCGAATCATTTGGTAATATTACTCTAAAAGGATATACTTTTAAGAGAAAATTATCTTCCACCGATATCAGATATATGATAAAATAGCTAATGAAATAAATCTGCTTAATTCATTTTGCTCATTTTGTTGAATAACAGGATGCTATCTACATGCCTCGCTTCCCAAAAAATGATTTCGTCAATGTAAAAATCATCTCTTTTTAAAATTATTTCTAAAATAAATGGATTGAAGAAGAAATTTAGTTGATTTAAACAAACGATCGGGTTTATCACAACATTCCATAACATATCCAAAGATATTTTTCGTTAAGTTAATTCAATAATTTCATCATTTTTGATTACGGTTATAATTTTGTTTCCTATAAAAGAAAATGTTAGAAAATTTCATTTATATTTTTAAGCTTTTAAAAAATTATTGTATATTGAAAAATACCAGGATTTCAAATACTTTAAGTGAATTTAACAATCCTTTTTCTCAGTAAAGGGAGTTTTAAAACATGAAATTCTTTATATTTGAATTTTCATAAAGTGTATGAGAGATTGGAGAAAGCGAAATCGTACCTTTCTTTTGTTTCATAAAGTTTTTATAACTATCTTTCCCTATAAAAATTTGCAGTCATGAGAATTTTTTTTAATTATATATTATTATTATATATTATTATCAACGCTTTACGAAAAATATTTATAAGATTACCGGAATTGGAACTTTATATGAAACCCTAACTTAATAACTGGTAAAATGAAAAATTCCCCATTTAAGTAGCCACATGAATATATTACATTCTTTGGCAGTTTAAAATCTTTTTTAGATAATAATTTACATAGACTCTAGAAATAAATGGTTATATATTAGCATTCCCCATATTAAAAAAATATTTATCGGACCGCTACGAAACTTTTGATAAGAATTTTGGAATAAGAAAATAAAAAAAAAATGACTCATTCGAGGTTTTTATATGAAAAAGCTATATATTATTCGGAGGTAACTTCTGCTGTAGAGAAGCGTGACAGCGTGTCATGACTAGTGATTACTAAATAATTACGATCTTATATCAAACTCCGATATAACGATGTTGGGTCCGGTGTAAACTCCTGATGTCCTGATGTTCACATGAGTAATACTTTGCTCAATGATTACGACATATAAATATATACAATATAAAGCTGATATGTCATATCGAGTATATCGAGTCATACAGATTATGATAAAAAAAATCACTTACGCGTTTTTTTATAAAAATCATTTTTACGCACTAAATTTCTCAAAAAACTCTTTCTCTTTCTCAAAAAAAAAAAAAATTCTCAAACAACCCTTTATACAAAAAACTACAAAAAAAAGTAAAAAATTTATATATAATCCTTCCGCTTTTTTTATATAATAACAAGTGGGAAAAAATGGTGAGGGTAAAAAAGAGGAAAAATCGCAACAATAATGCCAGTTACTTACATAGGACAAGCTTTAAGAAGCGAGATCAGAAGTGACCATCATTGCAGGTGAGTAGGTTTGGATGTTGAGACGAAGGTTACCTAGTCTCCGTTATTCCGTAGTTGCGATAAAGTGGTCATGAGCATAATGGTGGTCGAGGTATACCACTTTGGTCACTACCGTATGTATGGTCACTACAAGTATACCATACAATCACCATCTGTATGGTCACCTCATAGAAACTATATGGTGCTGCAGAGTCACTTACCCACTTTAGCTTCGCCAAACGCTTGCTTAGGCTGGTCCCAACATTCACATTGTATATTTGTAGACGTATCCATTGTTTTCATATTGAACAAGTGGAAAAAAATGGTGAAGATAAAAAAAAAGAGGAAAAATCGCAACAATAATGCCAATTACTTACGTAGACAAGCTTTAAGAAGCGAGATCAGAATTTACCATCATCGCAGGTGAGTAGGTTTGGATGTTGAGACGAAGGTTACCTAGTCTCCGTTATTCCGTAGTTGCGATAAGGTGGTCGTGAGCATAAGGGTAGCCGAGGTATACCACTTTGGTCACTACCGTATGTATGGTCACTACAAGTATACCATACAACCACCATCTGTATGGTCACTTCATAGAAACTATACGGTTCTGCAGAGTCACTTACCCACTTTAGCTTCGCCAAACGCTTACTTAGGCTGGTCCTAACACTCACATTGTATATTTGTAGACATATCCATTGTTTTCATATTGAACAAGTGGAAAAAAATGGTGAAGATAAAAAAAGAGGAAAAATCGCCAATTACTTACGTAGACAAGCTTTAAGAACTATGGTTCTGGCGTTTTCTTTTAACTTTTTTTACATAAAAAACACTGAAACTATGGTTCTGGCATTTTTTTTTAATTTTTTTTTACATAAAAATGCCGGAACTATGGGTTTTGGCATTTTCTTTTATTTTTTTTTACATAAAAACGCCAGTACTATGGTCCCGGCGTTTTAGTAGGTTTGGATGTTGAGACGAAGGTTACCTAGTCTCCGTTATTCCGTAGTTGCGATAAGGTGGTCATGAGCATAAGGGTGGCCGAGGTATGGTATACCACTTTGGTCACTACCGTATGTATGGTCACTACAAGTATACCATACAACCACCATCTGTATGGTCACTTCATAGAAAACTATATGGTGCTGCAGAGTCAACTTACCCACTTTAGCTTCGCCAAACGCTTACTTAGGCTGGTCCTAACACCACATTGTATATTTGTAGACGTATGATTTATGCCCATTGTTTTCATATAGAATGTTCAAGTAGGCAAAGAATATATGACTCTTTGGAATCTCGTAGGCCCAAAATGCTATCTTTCCTTTTGAACAGGCTCAAAGTGTTATTAATAGATTTACGTCTGATGGTAGATGTACAATGTGTACATACTGAATGTAGAAATACGATTTTAGATTAGGACCTATTGGTCCTATCATAATGGTACTTACTTAGCCTTATGTTTGTTCCAGAACTGACGAAATTTTGCCTAACCTACATAATTTATGGAATATTTCTAGTAAATTTCTTAATAACATTAGTAGATCTAAAATTTATTTAATAAGAACAAATGCGTATTGTGTACAAAAGTTAACTTTAACTATAATTAAACATAGGTCATTTAAACTTTATTAATTGTAATAACTAGCTAAAACTAAAATAATAAATAATAAATGTTAAAACAATTGTTTCAGTTAAGACCAATTAATAAATCATGCACGTGCCAATTTTAGTTTCGCAAGTTTAGGCAGTTTCGGAATAGCTGAAATCAAAACTTAAATTGGCGCCAATTGCAAACCAGTTTCGTCCGAAACATTGAATATCTAAGTTTTTTACAGAAAAAGTATTGAAGAATTGAAAAAGTTTGCGACAATATGTGAGAATATATCGATCCAAAAGATCTAGTACCAAAAAAAATCAACTCATGATAAGGTATCGCAACACACGACGCCTTACATGATCATTGGTCGAATCATCGCTCTTCATCCACAAGCCAGATATTTCATCAACAAACAGACTCCAGAGGTCTACAGTATCATCCCTTATAAGAATTACATTTCTCAATGCTTCAACCTCATCGAAGCAGCAACTTATAGATCTCCCTACACCTTTTCAAGCTTACGCACATAACGAATATTCTTTGATCAGTTTAATTCCACAAATGGAGGGTTATTTATTATAATCCAACAACCTCATCATCATCTACGATGCTCGAAGATTTAGAAACTTTATTTTGACGAATCTGTTTCGTCATTTTCTGCATAATTGATGTAGAAGGCTATTTATTATAATTGCTCGACATTCTAATAATGTTGTAGTCTTTAAATTTATTATTTTTTTCTTTGTGATTCGATTCAAGATAAGATTATTGTTTTTATTTTGGATAATTTTTTTTACACATATTATAATATTATTTTGAAACTACAGAAATAAGTGATTTTTTTGGTTTTATTTAAATAATTTAATAAGATATTACTAATAATTAAAGAAAATGAATTAGAATCAATAAACAACCTGCCAATTCAAAGTTAGCAATTATTGTTTTACTGAGTTTAAAATATACGTATGAATGGTTATCTTCTTTCTAATCTTTCCTATAGATGAATTTCTGTTAAACGTAACAGCATTTTCATCAAAAGTCTGAATGTTTTTATTATCCAGATAATGGATTACCTGACAGATATCTGACAGATATCTGATGGATAAACCGATTTGTTATAATTTTAATAATGCGTAAAAAAATTATAAAAAACTTTTAATCAAATATTAAATATTTGTAACTATGAACTTTCATATTAGTGAGCAGCCAATTTCACAGGGTAATGGTTTTCTGGAACCGTTCAGTAATACTTAATCAATCTTTCATGAATTAGTGTTTAATTAAAAGGATAAACTGAAAAGTTTACTAATAAAATTATACATAATTTCACTGGAATACTTATCATGATTTTTGCAGGACACTTAAGCCCGAGGCGATGCAACATAATTAACACACGTGACAAGCAAGTAATCGAAATCAAGTAAAGGGGTTAGAAGAATTATATTATAAAACAAAATGTATTGACTAGTTATTTCTCATACAATAAATAAATAAACTACTTGATTCATACATAATTACATAAATTTCTAGTACTAGATCTATTTAGAAAGAACTTTTTCCCTGTAAAAAAAGTCGATCCGTTTTTTACATTCCGTCTTTTTTCCGTAAAGGCTCATACTTCCGGAATTAATAACCTTATATCACGGAATTTATCGAATTATTTATATTTTCCGTGAATGGATCCGCAAAAGGCTCATTTTTACGGAGTTTTTACAGAAATAACGGATAAAATTTTTTATAGGGTTGACTAAAATTTATCTGCTAAAATTAGCTTAATTTAATATATTTTTAAGCAAAAAAAGTTCGATTTGGGTTCAGAAATTTCGCCAGGTTTCGGAAGTTTCGTCGAAATTTTAGTTTCGGTTTCGCCCAAAACACTAAATTATACAACTCTAAAGACATTATTTTAGCACACAAAGGTCATAAAACATAATGAGGCTGTAATAAAGTAACAAACAATTTGTATATTAGGAATGTGTTTAAATTTCAATCATTATTAACATTAAAGTTAATCCAAACAACAAAAATAGTAATACAAATTTCGGAAGACTGAATTCATTTATGTTTATTACAAAAAAAAAAAATATGTACACACATTTTGTCATTTTCAGGTAAAAATCAAAGTAATAAAATAGAGTTGTTTGATCACCTGTTTATTAGAAATACAAATTGAATGATGTCTGGACTTTTAGACTCTGCTGATTATTTATACGAAGTTAACAAAAATTTTATTCATTACATGTGTATACTTCTAGGGTATGGTGACTATGGTCTCGATGCCATGGTGCTTGTGTGTAATATATATCACATATTTATCACGTGACATGGATGTGACAAAAAGTGTCGGGATTTTGGACAGTACCGGGTATGAAGGGTACGCCATTCATGCAATTCAATCCCTTAATTAGAAATAATTCCAAAAGCTTGTTACAGTTCTTAAGTAATAAATTCAATAAATCAAAAAGTTCCTATAAATAAATAATCTCTCTACAAAATTTTAGCTGTTAAACCATAATATTTTCTAAAATTTCTTGTACTAACATAACTAATTACGCCGACTAAAGAATGGAAATTGCAAAAGCAACCACTCAAAGCACACAAAATAAACTGTGCTATCAAGGCGAGCAACGAATTTGCAAAGAATTTACACCGGGATGGATTAGATCGTGGATGCATTCAATATTTAATGACTCTATGGTAATAAGACAGGGAAAGATGATTCTCTCTGAATTATGTTATATCTTTTAACACGTTCTTTCAATTATTCAAATCCTTCACCAGAGATGAAATATCACTTTATCGTTCACTTAACGGATTAAGTAACGTTGCTAGTGGTGGTACTCGCCTTTACGACAGTATAGTTAATGTCATAAAAACTTTCCATAGTAATGGTGATCGTTCTCGTCCCTGGATTTTGGTTGTCGTGACTGATGGTGATGACAATAATAGCAGTCTAAGTTTTAAAAAATTCTGAAGAAATATCACGACTATTTACAAAGGAATTGTTGGGGTTGGAGACAATGTAGATTCAACGAAAATGGAATAGGTATGTCATTCTTTGTTTTTTATTTTATTTGGAGAAGTTTAGCGTTATATTTCCTTTGAAGCAAGGCATGTTTCGATATTTTAATTTTTAAGTCGTTATTGAATATTATCCTTCTTCAATGTTTTTAAAAACAAAATCAGATGGCTAGCATTTCCAACTTTATACACTTTCCCGTCAAAGATTTTTACCTTCTTGAACTTGTATTCTTGACTCTCGATTAGTCGGTAACTAATCTGCATCATGGGCCGAGGTTCAAAGACGCAGAAATCTCTGCAAATTTGCGATCGATTATGCTCTCTTGATCGACGTATCGGGATCCATGAATAGTGTAGTAAGTTTGCCACACCTCAATGTTTTGAAGGACATGACTTGGAAAAAAAATATTACAGAGGAGATTGGTATTGTGATGTGTGTGGAGAAGATAGTGATAATACGGTAGACTTTTTAATATATTTTGTTTTTCATACTCCGTTTATTTTTTGAAATATTGACTTGACTTTTTTTTTGTAAATCGTGTGAACAGGTATCCCACCTAACTTGATTCTTTCTTCATTTTATTTTATTTATTTTTTTTTTGTAAACAATTTATTTTAAAAAAATTCTTTATCTTCCTTTATCTTATCCTTTTTATTATTATTCTTATGTACATAATTCTATAAGTTTTTTTTTGGCATATGTGGATTATAAAAGTATTCTTATAAACGCTGGATGAAATTATAAGCGTTTTTATAACAGTACAAATTCATATTTCATATTTTATATAAATATTTTATTTCTTATTAAATATGTAAAATATGTGTAAAAATATAAATTTTCTTCAATAAAGCGTTAAAAAGTTATTTTTAAATACAAACACTATCTTTACTATAAAAATGTAAGTTCCTTTAATCTTTTTTATTGACGAAAAATTTCTAGTTAGATGTTACACAAGATAAAGCCAATAAACTCGGACACATCACGTGACGGAACTTTTTATCGTTTAGCATACACATATCACAAGATTGAAACTCAGTAATTTATTTTTTATCACGCATATTGTATTACTATTACTAAAGCTCGAAAATGTGAAATTGGAGAAATTAAAATATTAATAATAAAAATGCTTTATACATGTACGTTAAATCTCAAATAAAATTTCTTCATTAAAAATCTAAGTTGTATGATATAACTTGATTGATTAGATCCAAAATTCTTCTATTGCAATATAAAATAGTAGCATGTTTCCAACTATTTCCATTCCAATAAAGTCTCCAATTAACTTAATTTTTGCTATCCAAATAATGGCTCCTTTATTGTTACAATTTCTATGAAATGATGCAGCATTAAATACATCCCTACTTTGAGCGATATAAGAACTTCATAAGGAATACTTTTAATCCATGAAGCAGATTATTTTTGAAAGTGAAGTATTAGCTTTAAGTTCCATATTAAATTTTAAGACATATTCTTAAAAGAAATAATGTAAAAAATCAAATCATAAAACAAATAATTAAAAAACTAGCGTTTTTTAATACATAACCTAGTAGAAATCGGGAAATGTATTCATTAATTTTAAGGTCGAAGAATTGAATGCTCAAAAATATCAAAAAAAACATGCAAAATTCGTTAAAGTATTGGAAATGCTCTCATAAAAATTTTTTGTTATATTTTATCGCCGTTTTCAAAATAGTATACGTAATTTATTTGTGATTGTATATTCGAATACCAATATTCGCCCGGTTTTCGTCCGTTTTTTGTCCATATTTCGTCCGGTTTTCGTCCGGTTTTCGATTTTCTTTTTTTTTTATTCAATTTAACTGAATACATCATTTTGAAAACGGCGATAATAGAGAATTAACTTATTATTAAAATTTTTTTTTATTTGTGATTTGTATATCATAATCATATACGTGAAAATAAGTAGAGAAATTAATTTAAATTATTACGTTAGAAAATCGTCATTTTAATTGATAAAAATAAGATTTCTTCACATTTGATAAAATGAATTGGTCAAGATATAAAAAAAGATTCAGTAACACCATCAGGATTTGGGAGAATAATTTTCCGAACAATATTCAATAATCTTATAAATAAATCCGCCAATCAATCATTTTTCTTTTATATCTAATGGAATTCATATGAATAGGAATTAATCGAACTATACAAAGCGTTACTAATCATAGAATCATAGATACATTTTCATTAACTAACTATCATAAGGTCGCTCGAAGACAACAGCCCCACCGTTACCCCTATATTCTGATTCATACAGAAGCTACACGAGCCAAAGCACCAAATAACTTGGATCCCAATTTCTAAAGTCTTTTTTCACATGAAAGAATGATTTTGATACATTTAAATATTATAAGAGCGCTCGATTATATACTATAAAAGTTTACCAATTGAATTTTTTTTTTGTTTACCCGGATTTAACCATAGAAATTTCTTTTACTGGAAAAGACCCTTATATACTATGAATTATTCAACTACTTAGTTTTGAATTCATTCCATATCATTCGAAGTAAAACCTGATTTCAAAATCTATAAAAAAGGTAAAGGAGAAGAAAATTTCTAACTTTGTATGATAAAAGAAGAAATAAAGTATAGTAAAAAAAAGTAAATGAAAATATTATCCTGATTACGAATTAATTTAGTATGAAATTTGTGAAAATCGCATGCTTATTGAACGATTTAACGGGCAATCTTTGATCAACGATTCACATGATAACTGAATTACAAATCATTCTTGAATGAATTTATATGAATATAAAAACCCCTTCCAAATGGCTGCACATTATTCGTCAACTAAACATTCGTATTAGTAAACTTAATTAATCGCTTTCATAGCTATTACTAATTTAGTATTGGCGGGTGAAAACGAAAAGTTTCTATAGTAGCGTGGTATAACAGTTATCAATTCGCACATAGATAAGCCACTTGTTCCACAATTTCATAAAAATTTATGAATGTGATTGGAAAATTTTCGATTTCAACTCAAAAAATAACTGTTGGTGTTATCAAACAGTAAATCATACAAGTAAATCATACAACATTACAAATCAAGTTAAAAAAATTTTCATTTTGTCGTCGATCATATGTAGCCATAATGCAAAGTTGCACAAAGAAACTTAGCCAAAGAGATATAATAATTATTATGCAGAAAACGGTCGGAATATTTTCGGTTAACAGTATAATGAATTGATTTTCGGGTAATTTACGGAATAAAATTGAAGTTTCATATGCTGAAACCTATAATAAAATGAATGATTTTTTTCTCATTGTTTACATTTATGATTTTCAACAGGTTTGGATTATTTTGACGATCATGCATGTTATGAAATGACGGCAAATTACGAATTCAGTTTTTTTTTTTCATTTTTTTTTTTCCAGCGATTTAATCACTCTTTTTAAATTGGAATAATATTTACCCGAGAATAAAATTATGATATTTAATACTAACTTAATAAAAATATGTAATTTATAATTCTCTGACCGAAAAAATTTTAAATTTATTTTAAATACAAGATATATTATTTTATTATTATTTAAAAAAAAAAAAAATTTTTATAGTTTTGCATCTAAAAATCAAAATAATTTCCGGTCCCATCCCAAAATTAGTAGCTCATTATTTACCTTAATTTGGTTAGTAGAATTTATATATTCCATTTAAACTCTCTTTTGTAAAACATTAAAAAATTTTTTTATTACAATGTCATACTTTTTTCCTTTAAACGATAAAATTATTCAAAAGTCAAGTTCAAATATCTCTAATAATGATGAAATTTTCTTAAAAGAATTTTTAATAGATTTTTATAGAAAAATTCTTTATATAAACGATTTTAATAATTTTGAAAATATTTTAATCGAACTTATAAATATTAAAAATACGAAAACTATTTTAGAATTAATGAAAAATCATAAAGAAAATGAATTTTGGTTTTCTAGTATTATTGGATTTTTTTATCAATATGGTATCGATTGCGATATTGATAAAGATATTGCATTAGAATTTTATTTATTGGCTATTAAAAATGATGAATCTTTGGATCATAAATTTAACTTATTAGATATAAATAATGATGATAATGATGATTTTATTATGCTTCAAAATATTAATTGTATAATTGGAAAATATTTATTATCATTATTTTATTATAAAGATATTATATTAGATATAAGAAATTTAAATGGTTTAAGTGATTTAGTTATTAATTATTTAAAATCTGCTAGGAAAGGTGATCCAATTGATCAATATAATTTAGGAATTTGTTATCAATATGGTAGAGGTGTAACACAGGATTATAAGAAAGCATTTGAATGGTATTTCAAATCTGCTAATAATGGTTATGCTAGAGGTCAATGTAATTTAGGTTTATGTTATTATTATGGAAGAGGTACAGTTCAAGATTATAAAAAAGCTTTTGAATGGTATTTTAAATCTGCTAATAATGGTTGTGCTAAAGGTCAAAATAATTTAGGTTATTGTTATCAATATGGTAAAGGTGTAAATTTGGATTATAAGAAAGCATTTGATTGGTATTATATATCTGCTAATAATGGTTATGCTAGAGGTCAATATAATTTAGGTTATTGTTATTATGATGGAAAAGGTATATCTCAAAATTATGATAAAGCATTTGAATGGTATTCAAGATCTGCAAATAATGGTCATGCCATGTCAAAAAATAATTTAGGTTATTGTTATGAATATGGTGAAGGTGTTGTACAAGATTATAATAAAGCTTTTGAATGGTATTTAAAATCTGCAATTGATGGTTGTGATTTAGGTCAATATAATTTAGGTTATTGTTATTATAATGCTATAGGAACTAGATTAAATATTGAAGAAGCTATATTTTGGTATAAAAAAGCTTTAGATAATGGAATAGAAGGTGCATATATTGAATTGAATAAAATTTTATCAAGGAATAATTTCATTTATAATAATAATAAAAATAAAGTTAATTACTAACTTTATTCCGGTTTAGTAAAATATGTTTCATATAAGGTTAAAATATTAAAAGGATTTATAGATAATATGCAAAAATAAGGAATTTTATAATGTTATGAATTTATATGATAATTATTAGTCGAGTATATATATAATTAAGGGAAAATATATGTACAAATATTTTAAATCAATTTTTAAATTATGAGTGGAAGGTTTAATACCTAAGATAAAAAAATATATGTTACAGTACATCAATTTTTAAATTATGAGTGGAAGGTTATCTAAAAAAAAAATATTATGTATTAATTATAGATTTGTAAGATATTCAATAATTAAGATTATTAATAACTTCATTTGTATAATAAATTTCAATATTGTTGTTGCGGCATTATAAGAAAAAATAAAAATTATTATTCTCAGGACTTTGTAATAATTAATATTTAATTCGCTTAATTCTTTTACATAAATTCGACGTTTCTTATCAGCTAAACGTATACTTAGCGTTGAAATTAATTACGCCAAATAGAGCTTACTGTATACGTAATCCGTACTGCCATAATTCAAATACCATAAATAGGAAGATTATGCGATACAAAAAAAGGAATCCATTTATATGCATTATTTAATATGTATTTATTAACAATATATGCCATATTCCCTATAAAAAAAATTCTCCTATAAATTTATTTTATTTATTTTATTTTATTTCAAGAAGAGGAGTGAACGTTATCTGTTACATTTAAAGAAGGCGCGGCCGAAGCTTTGCACAAACTAATCAGGTAAGTAGAACTACGTATCTCATTCCACACAAATGCAGAACCTCACCCTTCGAACTAAACTATGCTAGGAGTAAAACTACGCTACTACTAAAATTGAAAAAATTCCTATAAATGATCATTTTTCTAGTTTTTGTTCCGAAAGAAACTCAGACACGTGATCATTTTTCTGAAAAATTTTTTATAGGGATTCAAAATGCCGAGATAATTCCGACGACACGTATAATTAAATGGTTCAAATAATAAATTTAGTAGACTTTTCTCTTATGTTCACTAATATCAGTTCTTTTTACAGAATAATTTATTTTCGATATTCGATAAAATATAAATTACTTTTCAGTCCGTTCTTTCTATAAAATTCGTATTTATCAATTATGAGTATTTACTTTTAGAATTTTATTACACAATATTCATTCGTAATACTACCCTATAAAAAAAGTTGTCCAAACACTGTTCGGTTTTTTGTTCGGAAAATTGACCCCGTTCCGAACATTTACTTGACATATATTGAACAATTATCATGATATTGTACGTTTTTTATGTGGTCGAAAATTCTCAATCTCTGCATCTTGTATTAAATTGTAACAAATATTGTATAATTACGTGCGAGTGTTCGGGAAATCGACCCCATTCCGAATATTTATCAGACAACATTTTTTATAGGGCTAGAGCTTGGGTGCCAAATGCTCAAAACATTTAATTACGTTGTTAGGTAATATTAATTCATGAATTTCGATTTTACCTTTCTTATACAACCCTTTATTACTAAATATATGCGTAACTTAATGAAAATTAAAAATAAATTAGCCTACACATAAGAGTCTATCCATTTTAAAATCAAAGATTCTAAACTATACTTTAATATTAATCTAATTCCATTTCATTTATTTCAACTAAATATCATGAAAATATTAAAATGATTTTAGTTTATATATATTAAAATATTTTACTAAAAATAAAGAATTATAAACTTACTACATAAACCAGAAGATTGAGCATAGTCTAGAGATTTGTTACCATTTTTACTAGTTTGTAATTCCGAACCTAAATAAGTATCATCCCTCATTGATACTACATTTTAATTTTTGTAAATTATCAGGTAAAAAAAAATTAAATTATCAATTATAATGCGAACTATACAAACAAATACCTGTAACTGATTTATTTTTAACATTAATTCCAAAATCCATTCTTTCAAATTCATCTAATACTTCATTAATATTTGGTCTCTGTTCAGGTTCTTGATTCCAGCAATTTTTATAGAGCTTTTCATAATCATCTGGAGTATTAGGAACCGCCACTTCACGAATACCAGTATTAATAGAAATGGCAAGTGCAACTTTATTGTCATGATCTTTAAATGGAGGATATCCACTTGATATTTCCCACATTAATACACCAAAACTATAAATATCTGATGATTTAGTATATTTGTAACTTGGATCTAATATGCGCTTTGGTTCCATATAAGCAACAACACCAAAATTACCAATGTAAACTGTTGAACTTTGGTTATTTTGAAATTTTGAAATACCAAAATCTGTAATTTTAGCATTATTTTCATGAATAACTACATTCTTTGAATGCTAAAATAAAACATATAATTAGTATTCAACAATTAGTATTGAATGTTAACAACTCTTATAAATAATACTTACAAGATCTCTGTGTAAAACATTCTCATTATGTAAGTAATTTAATCCGTCTGCAATTTGAAATGCTAATTTTTTCTTATCGTTCCAAGTCAAATTCTTAAAATTCTTTTTGAGATAATTTTGAAGATCTCCGCCATTAGCGTATTGCATTACAAGAAGATATTCGTTTGTTCTTTGATCTAAAAAGAAAGGTTTATTTCATAAGTAAGGAATTAAAAATATAGATAAAGTAATAAAATATGTTCAATTACCCGTACTAATGCCTAAGCAGCGTACTATTCTATCACAATAATCAAGATGCAAATGTATTTTTAGTTCATGAATAAATGCGTCTAATAAACCATGCTTAATATCAGTAGTATTAGTCAATTTTTTACAAACAACATAATCATTTGTTTTGGTCCAAACAGCTCTTGTAACGTGTCCAAATCCTCCTGCATGAAGTGATACTGCACTTTTTAGTTCATTACAAGGTATGTGTTTTATTTTTTCATACTCTAAAGTATTTTTAATCCATCCAGTTGCATCTTCAAATCCCTTCTCTGCTTTTTTAAACCAATAAATAGCTTTTTCCATATTTTTTCCCACCCCTTTACCACTTTTATAAAAAAAACCGAGTTTATTTTGTGCATTACTAAAATCTTGCTCAGCTGATTCTTTATACCATTTGAAAGCTTTAACTTCATCCTTTTTTATACCAACTCCATATTCATAACATTTACCTAAGTTATACTGTGCATTTTTATTTCCATTCTTTGCTGCTTTTTGATACCATTTAAAGGCTTTTATTTCATCCTTCTCAATACCAATTCCATCTTCGTAAAAAGAACCAAGTTTATTTTGTGCTTCTTTATTTCCATTTTCTGCAGCTTTGTGATACCATTTAAAGGATTTTATTTCATCCTTCTCAATACCAATTCCATTATTAAAGCAAGTACCTAGATTATATTGTGCAGATATATTTCCATTTTCTGCTGCTTTTTGATACCATTTAAAAGCTTTAATTTCATTTCTCTCAATACCAGTTCCATGTTCATAAAAAGAACCAAGTTTATTTTGTGCATTTATATCTTTATTCTCTGCTGATTTTTGATACCAATAAAAAGCTTTTTTCAAATCTTTTTCAATACTAGTTCCATCTTCATAATATATACCTAAGTTAAATTGTGCTTCTTTATTTCCATTTTCTGCTGCTTTTTGATACCAATAAAAGGCTTTAACTTCATCCTTTTCAATACAAATTCATATTTATAATAATTACCTAAATTAAATTGTGCTTCTTCATTCCCATTTATTGCCGCTTTTTGATACCAATAAAAGGCTTTGTTTTCATCTTTTTCAATGCAAATTCCATTTTCATAAAAAAAACCAAGACTATTTTGAGCACTATTATATTCTTTTTCTGCTAAACTTTTAATCAATCCAAATGCTTTGTTTTCCCCATTTTTCGCTGCTTTTTTATACCAATAAAATGCTTTTTTAAATCTTTTTCAGAAATAGTTCCATTTTCATAATATGTACCTAAGTTAAATTGTGCTTTTTCATTCTCATTTTCCGCTGCCTCTTGATGCCAATAAAAGGCTTTAACTTTATCTTTTTCAATACCAATTCCATGTTCATAACAATTGCCTAAATTATATTGTGCATCTTTATTTCCATTTTCTGCTGCTTCTTGATACCAGTAAAAAGCTATTTCTTCATCTTTTTCAGTACCAATTCCATATTCATAAAAAGAACCAAGTTTATTTTGTGCTTCTATATTAACTTCTTCATTCTTTGCTGTTTCATGATACCAATAAAAAGCTTCTTCCAAATCTTTACTTGTGCCAATTCCTTCTTCATAACACAAGCCTAAATTATATTGTGCATTACTATGTCCTTTTGAAGCTGCTTCTTGAAAGCACAAAAAAGCTTTAGCTTCATTTTTTTCAATACCAATTCCCCATATATAACGCAAACCTAATTCATTTTGTGCATCACTATTTTCGTTTCCTGCTGCTTTTGCATACCAATTAAAAGCTTTAACCTCATCTTTTTCAATTCCAATTCCATCTTTATAACATATACCTAAATTTAAAAACGCATTTTTGTTTCCATTTTCCGTTGCCTTTTGATACCAGTAAAAGGCTTTAAATTCATCTTCTTCAACACCTATCCCATATTTATAATAAATACCAAGTTTATTTTGTGCAAAATCACATCCTTGCTCAGCTGCCTTTTTGATCCATTTAAATGCCTCAATTTGGTCATCTTTAACACCAATTCCATTTTCATAAAATATACCTAAACTAAATTGTGCTGATATATCCCATTTTCTGCTGCTTTTTTATACCAATAAAAGGCATTAATCTCACTATTTTCAACACCAAATCCATATTCATAAAAAATACCAAGTTTATTTTGTGCACTTGCCATTATTTGATTCTGATTGTAAGCCTCGAATTTATCCATTTTAATTCCATTACTCTTATAAAACAAATCTAAAATATATTTCATTTCTTTATCTACCTTTTCTGTTGCTTTTTGGTAAAGTTTATTTTGTGCATTGTTATTTCCATTTTCTGTCACTTTTTGATACCATTGAAAAGCTTCAAATTTATCCTCCTTGACCCCAAATCCAATTTCATAGCACATGCCTAAATTATATTGTGCTCTTATATCTCCACTTGCTGCTTTTTGATACCAGCTAGAGGCGTAATTCTTAGCATTTGCTTCTTTTTCTGCTTCGTACGTATCTATTTCCATATCAGTCTCTTCCTCACACAAAATAGTATCGTTATACTCTTGTTCTTCAGGTAATCTTTTAGACATTTTCTAAATAAAATCAAGTAATATTACAAAAAAACTTATGCTTATAGTATTTAGTAGATTTTTATTTGTATTCTATCTTTATGAGTTGTAAACAAAATTTTTTACAGCTCTATATTTATTACTTGCAAGTGAATGTCTGCCTTATAAAATACGTTTCTTTTTGCAGATCGTTTACGCCTAATTGTAACATTGATTGTATTAATGCCTAATTTAGTAAGAAAACAATATACATGTTGTGCCCGAAATCTCAAATGATTACTATATGTGAAAAGTAATTCTTGAAAATTCTTAAGGCATTATAAAGATGGACCGATAATTTAGGCCCGATCGTTGATTTGGGGCAATCGTCAACTTGAGGCACATACACAATGATTGTGATTCATTTAATAGATGGAAAAGGCGTTTCTCAACAGAAGTGATTCTAAAAGAATTCGAAAAATAAATGGTAAACAAATACTCAAATACTTTGTAACAGTATTTAACTTTGCATCAAAAATATAAATAAATAAAAGTGAATCTTTTTAAATGACTAATGCGCATTAATGGAAAAATATCTATTTCATCATTTTTTTATTGTGAATCTTCTAATCTTTCTTTATCTATTCTGGTAGGTTTATTTTAGAATTAAGTGTGCTTTTATTAATACTTTCCTATTACAAATAATTTAATTCATTAAACTTATTTTTTTTTTTTTTTGAAAATTTTGGACAGTATTATATTAATTATTAGATAAAAGCGAATATAAGAATCAACCGATTATATGGTATTACGTGGATTTAAAAATTTATCAGAATCAATTGAAATATAGTACTTATGTTTATAAGAAACCCGGCACAAAAAAAAATTACGAAAAATCTGATACAGTCAACCAACCCCCCTCCTATATAAGAACTCCCCTTCTTAAGGCACATATTTTTTGGTCCCAATTTTTTTATATGTAAACAAGATGTCCTGGCTAAAGTACGAGATTATTGGTTAACGAATCATAGTTGCATTCATGAATCATGATGTGATAGCTGTTAAAATATGAACCGCCAACACGTATGCTGCGTAAGTTGTATTTCCTAAATTGCAAGCATATATTATTGTTTGTGTAATCCTAAATAATTTAACTTTAACCCACTACAGGCGTGGCACTTCTGCGTTTCGGACAGAACGACAAGAAACGCAGACATTGATCCTCGTACTCATGTAAATTATAATTATTTTTATTGACAACGTTAAATTTTAATTTTTTAACGCGTGATGGTTAATTTTTAGTTTGAATTCGGTACCCCGTACCCACGATCAAAATGGATAGGCACTTAATATTTAACCAGGGAAATTGTTTATATCATGATGCGTTTCTTAGAATTACAATTTCTCGAAAGATCCGATTCCGTTAGATTTCTTAACCATTCGAGATTGCTTCCTCAGAAATGGTTGAAACCAGATGATAAAGGTCGAGTTTCTTTATTTATATCTATCTCTATTTCAATTCCCTATAAAATTTTATCCGTTATTTCTGTAAAAACTCCGTAAAAATGAGCCTTTCACGGATCCATTCACGGAAAATGTAATAATTCGATAAGTTCCGGGATATAAGGCTATTAATTCCGGAAATATGAGCCTTTTACGGAAAAAAGACGGAATATAAAAAACGGATCGACTTTTTTTACAGGGATTGTGATTTCCTTCACAATAATTTATTAACGACTTGGCTTCCTTTTTTACATTATTTCAGTGCATCCATCCAAAATGACTCATTATTTGTGATATCAGTATAATTTGCTTTATTGTAACAAAATTTTCCATTTTTCTCATTGCTGCTGTAATTAATATACAGAGGGCGGTCAAAAGTCATCCGGTGATATAAAATAACAAGTAGACATTAAATATAGCAGGGAGCTTTAAATATTATTGAGTAGTAAAAATTTATTATAATTAGACCCTAAAAAAATTGGATATGTTTTTAATTAGAAATAACATACCTATTATAGAGGGAGTTGACTGTATATATAAAGTCTCTTTTTAGAACTCCTATCTTATTGACGACATACAACAAAGATTTTTTATCGTACTTTTCTGTCGCCTGAAACAGGAAAAATATCTTCAAAAAAAAAAAAAAATTATCAACGATAATCGTTAACTCGTAGGAACAGCGTCAAATTTAAATGAAGCGACACGTTATCGTTATGAATACTTCAAAGTTAATGTAGATAGTAGTGAAGAAAACTGAATTCTCAATGACAATTAAATTATAGCTAACATTTAATCATTTTGTAATCAAATCAACTAAAATAAAGAATAAACAATTTCTAGATGGAATTTACTGTAGGGATGTTAATTTGCTTAACGGTTCAGTTTGAATTCAGCTCAATACAGCTTTGAGTCTAGAGCGAGTTTAAACAAGCTAAGCAATTTTTAAAAAAACGAGTTGAGCAATTGAGCTTAATTATGAGTTAAGCACAGCTGTTAGACTAGATTTTCTTAAATGGCTTAAATGATTTATTAAATTCCGATATTGATTTATTTTCTTTATTTACTGTATGTGTAATGTTTTTATTAAAAATTATGTTGTAGAAATATTATTTATTTTCTAAATAATTTTTAATAATATTCGCTTCATACCATGTTTTTAGGCAGAGGCTTGCTCTGGTGATAATCTGTTATTGTATTTTTTGCAACTGAAAACATTTGCTCGCTAGATACACTTGTTACCCATAATCTAAGCTCGTACTAATAATAAAATGCTAAACAAGCTTGAAGCACGTTTTGAAGACATTAAAAAGTTTGAAAAAGCTTGTGCTCAAACTCTGTTTAATGTGCTTTGTTGAAGCAATTTAACATCCCTAGAATTTAGTAGCCTCTCATAAAATCAGCAGTCATATTTTGAAATCATATGTGTGTTTCTATTGGAATCTTGTGTGGCATTTTAATTTTTTATTTATTTTCCTAAAGATTGTAGCTCTGGTTATATTAGGTATGAATCCATTTTTTAGCCTTACGATCATTGCTCGATTTATGTAAATTTCAAATTGTTATGAACGCTTATTATGTAGATTGCAATTTTGTTCTTCGTACTGTCCAATAAAAATTTTATTTGATTTCTTAGTTATTTTCAAAATTTTTAAATTTTCACATATATATTAATTATCTATTGTTGTTGACATAGCCAAGTCTTTTAAAATAAACAACTGCATTGACCAGGCCCTCGGGAAAAGGATGAGAGATATTTTACTTTTTAACAAAGGTAAAAAAAAAATACAATTTTACAATTTTGTTTTAAAATAAAAAATAGCGATAGTTAGTCATACTACATAACTGTAAAAAGTTATTATGGACGGACCATATAAATTTTTTAAAGGAAAAAAAAAAATTGGCGACCTTATGATCTCACAAGTAAAATAATGAGGTAAATATTTAAATAACATTTGATTGATTTTAAGTACATATCTGTTAAGGTACTATTAAGGTAACTGTGAGGGGGAAAGAGCGAGAGAACACAACATACTGTATATACACCCACCCACCCATCCACACTCATTCACATCCATACACCCACACACCACAACAAAAAAGTCAATCCGTTTTTTATATTCTATCTTTTTTCCGTCATATTTCCAGAATTAATAACCTTATATCACGGAATTTATCGAATTATTTTCATTTTCCGTGAATGAATCCGTGAAAGGCTCATTTTTGCGAAGTTTTTACAGAAATAACGGATAAAATTTTTTATATGGCAAAAAAAGGTATTGGGATGTAATTTTTATATAATTATATTGAGATCGCAAGATTAAGTTACATATCGTGAATAATTTTTTCCGCATGAATAATACATAAATGACTATGTAATAAAATCTAGATAACGGACTTGAAAATCTCTAATGTAAATCTATTCTCTCAATATTTGTCAATGTCATTTATTACATATTTTTAATAAAATGGCGGAAATAAATATTTTTTCAAGAAATTTTCAAAATTTCACCCTGCAACAAATTTACATTCCGGAAGTAATTAGTATTGTTACACAACCAAAGCCACCCATTATTTTAACCGATTACCAATCATTATTAGCGTAAAACGCGTAATAATCTTTACATCTTTACATTAATAGCAAGTGATTTTCCCCATGATTAGAATTTTCTTAAACTCTTTTTCCCGCTAAACCTTTTTCACTAGAAAATCAATAAACCTTTTTTCCCTTATTAAAAGAATTTTTTTTTTTGTTTTCTATTAACACTTATAACAACTTTTTAAACTCTATTTAAATATAGTATTATTCAAAGTCCGAAATGTTAAAATTTGTTTATTAGCAAAAGCTTTGGAAAGTTTTTCTCTGAGGTGAATAGTTTATTATAAGTGTGGTGCGTCCGTGACGATAATATGAGCAGTTATTTAATGTATTTCCATTTTTTTTTCAGTAATAGCGAATTTAAAAATTACTTATTTAGAACCTCATCTAAATATAACTATTTATAATGAGCTTTTATTATCTTGGTAAGTGGAACTGATTAGTGTGCTATTTATCCTCCTCTTCAAATAGTCTGGTTAACTTAATGAGAACAAAAAACAAATTACAAATATCTCAAGCTATGTCGCAGACTTCTGTACGTGGGGCCCTTCCCTTTGGTGGTGGGTTTCATGTCTTATTATCACATTACCTCTGCACGTTGTAGTGGGCATGGAAGCTTGAATTTGTTACTTAGACTCTTAGAGTACCGAGTCTTCTAACTATTTTATTGTATATTTTTATATTTTTAGATTCTATTCTTATCTGGTAATCAATTTTTATTTCTGATAAAACAACTTTATTGATTATAAAAGATAAAATAATAAGGTAAAGTTATTTATTTATGTTCAAAAAGAATTTATATATTCCATTTAAAGAAATTTAAGACATTTAAATAATAAATTTAAATTTGACGTATCACGCCTTTAAATTTATTGTATGATATCAATACCATATCCATTTTTTCTACTGTGTAATTAGCCGTCAATTGAAATCATCAATTATTTTATAACTCCAGCTCACCACTACGCTAAAAGCCAATTATACTACAATTTACCAATGATACGCTACCGAATTATCCAAGACTTTAACCTTAATTGGTGACGGGTTGTTGTACTAAAATACTGATTTGTTTTATACTGGTCTTGAAAAGATCAATTTTATCATTTGGTTCAAAGGCTTACCCTCAAGATCTTTTTCTATTCAATTTGGCCGTAAGATCTGCTTTCAAGTTTATTGTAATTATATTTATTATAATCTGTTGTTGGTTTTATGATAAAATATAGCAAATAATATATAAGATACTTCTCAAAATTTCATCAGCAGTAAATAATTGCACAAAGAATTACGAGTATGTAAAAGTGCACGTATTTATAAAGATTGGTCGTACGATTGATCGTATTTTGGGAAAATCAAATACGAAATGTTGCCGCTCTAGTTATTATTTACATCTATGTATAATATCGATTTCTCTCTCCAAAAAATTTCGGAAAGTATCAACTTTGATATCCCACAGACCACGATGCGTTGGAACCGTTCTGTGTTGTGAACCTACTTTGATCGATGCTTGGAAAGTAGGTAACATACTCCTGCTAAGATCAGCTTAGCATTCAAGAAATCATTCAATCACTATTTTAATTATGGATGATGTTATGCAATATGGTTAGATCGTTCTCAACTCTCAAGTAATCAGTACAGCGTTCATGATGCAATTATTATATCATGCTACATGATCGGAGCTATGATATGGGAAATAAAAATTATTATTTGAAATTGTTAATCTGCAAGATTAACATTAAATGATCCTATAATTGACCATGAGGCTATTATATTCACAAAGGTTAGGTTACAATGCGATGTCACGAGCTAAGAAAAATTTGACGATTCACCTGGGTATTTTATTATATCCAAAATTGAACTTGAGTTTAGATAATTTAGTGTTTACCATCACATGATTTTTTTAACTTCTTTATTTTTAAAAAATGCTTCATTTCAGGAATTTTTTTGGCATTTTACTTCTCGATCAGAAATCTGTGTAATGTTTCTCACGTGAATGACATAATGTAAAAAATATTGTTGATCCAATTTAAATGACGGTTTTTATTTCGAAACTATAACCGGAATCATTATTAGAAAAAAGTACAATGATTTTATGACTAATTTAACCGAAATCTTTGTTTATTTTTAAATAGAGATAGATTGATTTCGATAAAAAGATCTATCACATCAAATTACTTAAAATATATTAATGTGGGAATAAAAATTCTTAATGGTCATGTGAAAATACCATGTTACTTAATTGTTGAAAAATTCCTAATGAACCCATTTTCCAGGGTTTAGGTCTTAACCATGATCAATATTACTAAAATTAGAAATTATTAATACGATCATTTCCATTTAAATTGTTTTGATGTTTGTTTGCATTTATACTCAGTTTCACAATCAAAACTTTAACCGAAAAGCATTTATTCTACAAAATACATAAAATACGTAACAGGGACAATAATTTCCCACTTTTAATCGTTTAATTAAAAAAAAAAAAAAAAAATCATTTTTAATAAATAATTTTTAAAATGAATAATTCTCCAAGCGAATTTGATTATCACAAAGCAATATTGTCATCTATAAAACGACTTAACAATGCTACCAAGAACTTTCCAGGTCGTATAAATCCGGATGACGTGTTTGTTACGAACGACCAACGATATTACATGTACGAAATTGTAAAGACTGATCCGGAGTCACTTAATAATACAATCCGTCAATTCATTCATTTCATAAATGACATTAAGTTGACAGGAGAAATAAATATTTCACAATTACATGAAATGTTTACGGAAAATTTGATTAGGGCTTATTCTAATCTACCAGGAGGTAGTGACGATGATGATGAATGGCTTAGTCAAAATAGTGGAACTTTTTTACCTTCTCCACCAATATTTTCATCCCAAAAATCATTAACTTCTCCAAAATCAAAAAATTTATTAACCTCACGCCCAAAAATTGAACCGAAGATTGAAAATCCTTGGGTCACACAATATTACACGTCAACGGAATTGCCAAAAGAATACAAAAATTATATCGGAGGAATAACATTCTTAGGTATATATGAGATCACCCGTATTTTAAAACCCTTTGGTCCAATTGAACCATCGGGCAAGTTCTGGAACAAAATAGTAGCTGGCTCAGCGATTCATGAGGTTCTTTATGAAGAATGTAAACTATATTTTGAAAAAGACCCAAACTTTTACGCTGAAATGACACAAATAATAAATAGAAATCTTTCACGTGTTTGGACTCTGAGTTCAAAGGAATTTTCTTCAGTTGGTCCTAGGTCTCATATATTATTTTCGGGAGAAGTAGACATTAAAGATCGTCGGCTGGTTTTAACATTACTTCCTCCGAAGATTGGTATATCGAAGAGATATTATAGGATGTTTTCATCCGAAAGATTCCTTCATTTAAAGATTATTGCGGATATAAACTCTTTAGACAACAAACAAAAGTCTAATTTGAAAAGATCATTACTACAACCTTTATCGTTGGCAGGGAGAACTTATGAATTCTTATATGCAAAATCTGATACATTATACTATTTTGCAACGAGAGGATTAGACATCATTAAAAATATTTCAATTAAAGAGGTAATCGATTATAACTTACCTATAGACATTAATAAGAGTGATACTACAGCGAAGTTTTATTCACGAATATCACTTGGATTTTCAAATTCGACGTCCACGGTAATTTTCGAACCTAATGAAATCCTATACGATGAGGAGGATATTAAAAACGACCAGCATTGTTTCACTGATGGATGCTCAGCGATATCTTTAGCCGCCATGAGGGAAGCAGCCAAAATTTTAGGTTTTGAAGAAACACCCTCCGTTCTTCAAGGTAGAATTGGAGGGGCAAAGGGTGTTTGGTATATCGAACCTAAAAGAGATATTAGTGGCAAAAAATGGATCAAGTTACGAAAGTCTCAAACAAAGTACAATTTAAGAAATATAAGAGACGAAGTTCATCTGCGAACTCTAGAAGTTTTACATGTTGCTTTACCACCGAAAAATCCAGCCTCACTGAATAGTCAGTTTATTCGAGTTTTGATCGAAGGTGGGGTTCATGTGGAAGTTTTCCTTGATATAGTGAGAAATCACATAAAAAATGTTAAATCTCAAGTGGTGGATTGTGATGATCCTCATTCTTTAATAACCTGGGTGATGAGCGTTTCAAATATCATGACCAAGAGAATGGAAATGTATAATAATGATACTGATGATATATTTGGCAGCGGAGATGCTATATCTGGATTTCCAAATAGTCCATCTGAACAATGTATTCAGTTATTACAAGCGGGATTTACTCCTTCTACATGTCCTTTTTTAGCAAAAAAGTTGAAGTGTGTACTCTCGTATGTATTAAAGTCCCATTTTAGTAAACTGCGAATTGATGTGCCATTATCACGGACTTTGATATGTATTGCCGATCCAACTGGAACATTAAACCCGGGAGAAATTTTCATTCAATTGGATAAGGAAGCAGGACGTGATGAACGTACCGGATTACCATTTGGCATTATAGAGGATGAAGTAATAATAGCAAGAAATCCATCCAATTTACCTTCTGATATTGTCAGAGTTAAAGCCGTTAAAAATGTACATTTAAGCATATACTATAACGTCGTTGTATTCCCTATAAAAGGTAATATTCCATTAGCATCTTATTTAAGTGGTGGAGATTATGATGGAGACAAAGTAAGTATATATATCTCTTTTATTCTATTAAAAAAAATAAAAATAAAACAAAAGTTCGTAATTAATATAAAATTTTCTATACATAGATCTTTTGTTGCTGGGAACCACAAATTGTTCAGAATTTTAAAAATTCACCCGTGTTACCAATCGATCCAAGTGTCGAAAATGCCTTCACAGTAGACAAAAAGACTGTGGATGAATTACTATCATCTACAACACCCGATAAAATCGAGATCAAGTTACAAGAAGTAATTTTAGATACTTATTTTAAGGACTTGGAACCTACGTTAGGTCTATATGATCGATGGCACAGACTTCAATCATCAAAATATGGACTTTCTAATAAATCGTCTATCTATCTCGCCCAAATGTGCGCAAAACTTGTTGATGCTACTAAACAAGGGCTTAATATCAAGCCAAACGTTCTACAGTATGATAGTGAGTTTGGTAACCTTCCTGTTCCTTATTGGATGGACAAGAACAAGGACAGTAAAAGTCGAAACAGAGAATCTCATTTAGGAGTGATGGATTTACTATGCAAGTCTATCGAAAATGAGATGAAAGAAATCAATAGCAAAGATTTCTTAATAGCCAAGATGACAAAGGACCCGGATCCTCACATTAAAGAGTTTTGGTTTAATGAGCTAACTAGGGCCGAACAAATGAATAGAGAAGAAGGGTTAGCGTATAAAGAAGATCTGGATCTAATTTATAAAAAGTCTTTTGAAATGATTTCTTTATATAATAGTAATTATTATGAAATTTTCAATGATGATTTGGAACGAAAAGATTTTCCTTTTGGACAAGCAACACAAACGACCAAATCGACAAGTTCATCTTCCAAATCCAAGATGAATGATAAGTTTAAAGGAGTAGATTATGAATTTATACTTAAATTTCTAAACACTCCATCAGTCGATAAATACAAAAGTAATATTTTTAAATATTTAAAAGATAGAGGTCCATTGACTCCCGATAACCTAGATCCACTATCTATGTTTGAGCTACAATTAAAAGCTGCAGCACTTCATCTAGCTTCTATTGGGAAAAAACCTACCGGACAAGGTTGTTGGGTCATTGCATTTCGGATACTATGTAATATCAAATCTCAGATGATAGACAGATTTGTAGTTGGAGGACCAAGGACTATTATTGAAGAAGTATGGCAGTCGATGAAGGTCGACAAAAAATGGGTGAATCACTAGGAATTTTTTTGTACTATATTAGATACTGTTGGATCAATATTAATTGTATGAATCGTTGATAATTCAGTGTTTATGGGTATAAGGGAATTAGAGTACCAAGTATAATAATAATAGTAAAGAAATTCCTTGTATCTTTTAGCTTCATTATTTTCTGTTAATGTTGTTAATGTCAACTAGATCTTCCATCAACACAAAGACTGGTTAATGTAAATTCGATTTAATTAAGTATTAGGAATGTAAATAATATAAAACAATTTTTTTTTTACAATTTATAACAACATAATACATAATGTTTATTATCTCTTTTTAAAAAAAAGAGGGGGAGAGAAGAATTTTTAGTGAAAAAGTATTATATACATTATAAGAATTTATTTTTAGAAGATTTAACTAAAGTTTGTTTAATTTTATAAATTATGTACGATAGTAATTTCAAACAGTTACAAATAAACTTATAATATTTTTCATTTCGTTTGCCCACAAAGTGTTCAAAGTGTTCAAAGTGTTCAAAGTGTAACTTCGTTGACACATGTACTATTGTACTTGTACGCGTTATTAGATCTCTTTTGCACGTGACAGTCGCGACAAAAAAAATTTTTTTTAAAAAAAAAAGAGTCGACTATATATTCGTATAATATGCTTGTAATTATTTATTTATGATAATAAATTAATCAATTCTAAAAATATCTTTTCCATAATTATTCTCAATCTATTTTTTTTTTTTCACAATTTTGATCTATTAATTCCTTTCAAATATTCTTTACTATAAATGTCTTTTAAAACTTCATTGTATCCTATATATTCACCTTTTTCTTGAGCCAAATTTGAAGGATCTAATTTTGCCCAATTATATAAAGCTTCATAAACATTACCATCATATCTACCTAAAGCGCTATTTAACATATTATCACTAAATTCCCATGAATCAACTAAACCTATAGCATCAGGTCTGATTGTTTTTAAACAATTTTTGATACCTAATTCAAAAATTTTAATATGATTAGAATTAAAATAATTATCTAATAAAAATTCTCCTGAATATTTTATAATATAATTAGAAAAAAATAAATTAATCAAAACTCTTAATATAGGATAAATATTTGAATAAGTTGTTTTAATCGATTCAAGACCTTCATTCGCTGATGTTATTGTAATTGTGTAACAATACGCTCTTGATACGTTAATTATATCAATCATATAATCTGATTTTGCTCCTTCATACCCTTGTGGATGATTTTTTGAAGATTCTTCAAGATTTGAAATAAGTTTTGCGAGAATTCGTGTGTGATAATGGGTGAGAGCTTTAATTTGTTCATTGGGATCAGTTAATTCTTCCCATGTAGTTGCACTACTACGTTCTGAAAGTATCCTTGAATAATCTTTAAGATAAAAGAGAGTTGCAGGAGTCGGCCTACCGTTTTTGGCATTTTCAAATGCTTTAATTAGATAACGCCCTGTTTGAAGTTGAAGAATAGTGTTGTCACCTAAGGAAAGTATTAATAGGTTAACGGATTTCAAAACATCTTGAAAATAATGAGCTCACATAAATAGATTTTGTATATTACCTTCGACTATAGGACTTTGAGCATAATCATCTACAATGGATGGAATGCTAAAAAAAAGAACAAAAAATTTGAACTGATGCCCCATATCTCCCAAAGAAAAAATTGTTATAATTTATATCTATATCATTCTTACCCACTAGAACGTAAATATCCATGACCTTGATCATAAGAAAAATAATTATCAAATTTAGATTACATTGTAACCGATAGAGTAAAACTACGCGTACTACGCGTGATATGTAAAGAACAACTTACCACCACAAGCGAGGATTATGTCATTCAAGGATTCCATAACCAAATCAGTGCAAAGTGCTTTTAATCCCTAAATAAATAAATAAATCATCATTAGTTTACACTCTACATATATATCGTAAAATCTCAAAAAAAAAAAAAGCTTATGTACCGAGGAAATAGAATGAATATCTGCCATTAAGCTAACATCACCTTCACTAATTTTCTTCTCATTAATTTCATTTAAATCTTTCATCCATTTACCAACAAAAAGTAAAGTATAAACAATAGATAGGCTGTTAAATAGACGATATTGTAGGAATTGATAATCCAAAACTATTGATTCATTATGGTTATTTGTTGTATCATTTCCTTGTTTTCTTACGAGAGAATAACGTATGGCGATACATAAAGCTTTTGCCAAAGCAAAGGATGATCGTTCAACCAAATATATTCTAGCAGTTACTAAAGTTCCATAAACTACTTTTGCATGTGAAGGGGTCGAATATTTTCCATCTCTTGATACTTTAGAAAATTTCATACACATTTGATCGCGTGGAATTCTCACATGAGTAAATCGAAGAAATCCTAAATAAATGAATTTAACGAGTTAAATATTATTACAAATAATAAAAATCCTTGACAATATTAAAATGATAGGTACCATTATCGATGTTATTAAAACCAAATTTTGGACCAATATCACCAACATCGATTCCTGGCAAAGGCTTATGATTCTCTCCACGCAATTGTACAACGAATGAATGAACTCCATAATCTTTACCATCAATTATTAAACGAGCAAATATAACTGCATGTGTACTAGTTCTTGCAAGACCACCAGGCCACCTAATTATTGATAATAAATAATAAATAAATACATCTATCTATATATTTAAAACCAAGAAAGACAAACAACTCACCATTTAGTTGACGTCAATGTTGGAGAATGAATTTCAAATTCATCCTGAATAATTTGAAAATCCAATTAATTAAATCAAACTTTTTTTCAAGTTAATTAATAGTAAAACGAGGGCTTACAGTTTCATGGATATAAGTTGCAGTCGTTTCTAACCTTCTAACGTTGGATCCATGTCCCAATTCGGTCTGTGCATAACTAACGAAAATTTATACACGTATTATAAATCAAATAAATATTGAACAAAAATTATCATCAAAATTATAAATACCATCCAAAAATCGCGTAATCCTTAGCCAAAGGTATCCATTTCTCCAATTGTTCATGAGACATTTGACCTTCAAGAGTTGGAATAAATAAAACATCATGCTATATTATTTGTATAAAAAAAAATGTTTTAATATACGACAAACAACAAAAATAAAAAAAATAAATTAATTAATTCTCGTTACCAAAATAGGAAGCATGGGTTCACCAGTTGATAGCAAAAGAAAATTCCAATCTTCCCCATCAATATCATGTTGTTTCTTAATTTGAAATAATTTTTTCATTTTTTCTAAAGATCTAATATAATATTTATCACGTGGAATAAAATGTTTATCTTCATTTTTGAGTACTGGATTTTTATTCACATCCAATAATGAAATTAGCCATCTTTTTTTTTCTATAAAGGAAAATTACTTGTTAAAATTATATTATATGGTTGATTATCTTAAGGAAATGTGATAGATTACTCGTCTCTTCCGGACCGCCGAAAATGAAGAGAGTTAATTCTTCATTGGGAAATGATACACCCGAACGTTCTTTTAATAAATCTGGATTTACCAATGACATCTTTAATCATCATAAATTAATAATGAAAATTATTACTTATTTCCGATTATATAAAAAACAGAATAATTGCCAAGTGTGTAGTGAAAATCAATTTATTATATAAATTAACCTTTGCGAAAAAAAGTTACCTTGAAATAAAATAGAAACGGTTAAGAGAAAGAAAAAGGTTGCATTTATGTAATTTATGTAATCTGGGAAATTTTTTTGTGGGTACAAGTGACGATCCCTCATGTGCATTTATTATATATGTATATCGGTTATTATAATAGACTAGAATCTTTTTTGTTTAATATTATTATTATAATAGACTTTTGTTTAATATTATTATAATAGACTATAATCCTTTTTTGATAATCTTTATTTGTTAAATATTGTTTTATTTTTGTACTAGACCGCGAATCTTGATTGTACCTCCCGAGTTTGTATAATAATACTTTATCTGTTATCCTAAAAAAAATTTGAATCAAATTAGTGTAACCGCAGTAAAAAACCCATATCCTAATTTTTTCAAATAATAATTTTCACACCGTATTTGCGGGCTACAGTACTTCATCTTCTACCGATTTTATTATTTAATAAATACCTAGGCATACGCGTGATAATACCCAATTATAATATAAGTTTATACATTATCTACTAAAAATAAAACCCTCACGCAATGGTGGGGGTATGATCAAAACCTCTGAAATTTGTATCATACCCGGTACTATGGCCCCCGTTATACGGTAAATCTTTGGATAGAACTCTATTAAATCATTGGCGGATCGAATTAATACTATAAATTTGAAGTCCAAGAGCACTCATCATTGCTTGGCTATAATGCTTACAGCATCTCCACTATTGATTACCACTACAACAGGTTAAATTTCAAGTTCTTTATCATAATCAACATAATTATTATACTCATCGTCTCTATTGTTACGATTGTAATTGTCGTCTCCTCATTCGTAGTCTCATAATAAATTACAGCTTTATCATCTTTGTCGACTATATAATGGGGGTCTTCACAAAAAACGTGATTGAGATTGAGATTGAAATTTAGTATAGAATTTCAATCTTACTAACATATTAAGATTGAAAATTCTATATGAAATCTCAATCTCAATCTCAATCACGTTTTTTGTGAAGACCCCCAATATTCACATTTATCAATTCCTTTCTTCAACATTTCGTCCTTCATTACCGCCCAGACAAACTGCCTACTAACCAGCATTTATTTTGCCGTTTCACTCCCAGATTATTAACTTATTTTTGGTTCTATTACTCCCGATAATTACCGAATTGTTGTTGTATAGTTTGAATGCAACTAAGCATTATATATGTACTTTCGTCCGGTTGTACTGGAGTGCAAGAAAATTTAAAATTAAATTTATTAGTTGTGGAACCATTAAAAGAACGGAAACGACGATATTAATAATGATAAAATGTTTAACAATGAAGAATCAGAAAAAAAGGTAAGTTTAAGGCTATATTTATAATTTTTATAATGATTAATAAAATTAATAATAATTTATTATACCGCAAGATTTATAATTATTATTTCGTGTTTTTTTTTATAAATTTTACATTATATTATATTTTCATTAAAATTAAATCAAATTCAAATAGGAAGAATTGAATTATTATCATAAAGTTAGGTTTGGCTTGTATTAGTTTATCGGATAAGCCGAATTAATGATAAACGCCTTTCCACGAGACTTCAGAAAAGAATTTCATTGATGGTTAGTTCAATGATTCTTTATCAAGTTATATAAAAGAATAAATGGATTCATTTTTTTTTTATGTCAAAGCACTCGTGAAGAGGTGTGTGTATACACATTTTTTATTTTACACATATAACATACGCAAGTTAAAAAAAAATAAATTTTTCATTAATACATTGATTAAAAAAAAGCTATTTTTAGAACATACTGACCACTTTGATAAAACGTTTTCTTTATTTCACTCCTTTAATGCGATATGGTCCACCAGAAAAAAACATCCCACTAAGATTAAGATGGTCATACTGTCCCAACAAGGTTGCAGGGATGTGATATACGATTATAGCAGGTGAGTTCAGAACTCGTTGCCGAGCAAACTCGACCGCATTTTTGAAGTTGTTGTTGAGATAATAGGACACAGTTCTGCCACCAAAGTCTTGTCTTCTACTACATTCACCAAAATCTATTCCCTCTGTTATGATGTTTTCAGCACCCCACAAATTTGTAGTGTGATAAAACAAGGTGGATTCATCAGCCTGTTGGCCAAGTTCCGTCTGAAGTAAGAGTCTAAGCTCATTATCATCGCCATTTACAGGCTCCTTATTGACAACATGAATTGGTGTCGGGTGTAATGCATGTTCATAGTTGATAAGTTCATTCAAATTTGCATTATTAATGAAGGAGTTAAATTCAGATGAAGGTCTGTTAGCAAGCTGTTTAATCCAGTTCTCGACCCAGTACCTAGGTGTTTGTTGTTCAAGATAGTCTTCCGAAACTCCACTAACAATAGCAATGGCTGTTTCTATATTAATATCAAAACAACATAATAACCAATCACGTGGTGAGATAAATTCACACCAGAAATTGGCGTCTGATGATGCTGTTTCAGATACATAAGAGAGAAGCCAGTACTCGAGAGTTTGTGTTGATAAAAGTTCCGCCGAAATGGATGAAATCCAGTCAATGAACTTTTCACGTATAAAACCAAACTTCAATGCTTGATCTGCTAGATCTTTCATAACGTGTTAGATGAGATTCTGCTTAGTTTACACGAAATTTTTCAAAGGAAGTGCAAAGTTTACATACCTTCGCGGAGCTTACAAAGATCTCTTTTAATCTTTCTTTCATGAAGCACACGTCTACGAAATGCTTGCCAATTGACCATTACCTTTGATTCATGCAAGTAGATCTGGAAGTAGATAAGTTTGTTGGAGATCAAAAAGTGTCAAATAATAAAGCCGGATTATTACAAACCATTAGGTGGTCCTTAGATTGACTATGTTGTGTTGATTTGATACTTGAATGAATTCTTTAAACGATTGACAGAATATATTATTGTAGCGAATTTTAAGAACTTCATTTGTAAATCGATCATACCCTCCACAGAATTGAAAATAACGAAATCGCCATGGCCAAGTTCTTTATTTTTAGTACAACATTTGAAACTAACGCGCGGTCGGCGATAATATCTATTTTATGTATACTCATGTTACTACTATAAAATTCGCTGCCAAACTTATTTATTACGGGCAGCTTTTTACCCCGAATACCCTGGCGTCAACAATAGGGTCATTCATAAAGTTGGTTAACTTCATATTATTATCGTAAGCTAGAGGAATATTAACTTTCCACAGCTTGATGTCACCAGCATTCTTGAGCTGGTACAATTATGAAAAGAATATTATGAAAGGTAAAAATTTTATCTTGAGATCGGGTGACAATATAAGATATTACTATATATATATATATATAATTTTTGTTTTGTCCTTTTGTGACGTATAGTATGTCTTTATTATATATTGTAGTGCAATACACATTTTATATTATATTTCATTTTAAAATAAAATTTTTTTTCTCCCACGTAGCTTGCTATAACCTTGATCCAAATAAAAATAGGATTGAAATGTATACGTTTCAAACATCATATTTATTTTAAACTGGTTTACATTGCGGTTTGATTCAAACTGCAAATTAATTTACCTGATAAATTATTAACTGATGAAATAAGTTTTAAATTGTTACAACGTTAAAATGCTACGACGCTAAATTACAACGCTAGATTGCTACAACGTTAAATTACTACGGCGCTACAACGCTATTCGTGAACAATTGCTTCATGCTCATCCAAGAATTCTAGAATACGTCACATTTTATCTTTCGGTGACGATAAAATAAAATAATTCAATTAGTTATCACACCCATTTTGTCACCTTTATATACAGTATATCACAAAAAAAAAAAAATTTTTTTATTAACGAAAAATACAATAATAACATGAAATATAAAATTTATAAAAAAAAAAAAAATGTTAATATATATATATATTTATATATATCAAATAATGAATGATTCCGAATTTTTTTAGAAATATCTTTTCCAACCTTTAAGTACACCAAGTTCTTGAAATTTTTCAAAAACTCGTAAATGATCATCAAAAATATCGGTTTCCATATGATACCAAATAAATAATGGTTTTTTATCTTTCCATTGTTGTAAAAAATCATTTAAAATTCTCACGTTAATTTTCCAACCTTCACCAAAATTTAATACGGTAAAATTATCATCAACATAATTTAATAAAGTATTAAAAATAAAAGATAAAGTAGAATCATCATCTATATCATTATTTCCTAATAAATTATCAGCGAATATTAATGTGATCTCTTTTAAATTTCGACAAGATTTAATTAAACTTTCAAAATCATTTTTATATTCATCCGAATACCATACTTTTACCACCTCTAAATTTGGACAATATCTTATTAATGATTGATAATATGATTTAATATGTTCAGATTTCGGTATCAATGTATCTGTTTCAATATTTATTTGTTTTAATAATAATCCATTATTAATAACTTGTTGTTGTTGTTCTCGATGTTGCTGTTGCTCTTCTTCATCTTCTTGTTGTTGTTGCTGATGATGATGCTGCTGCTGCTGTTCAATCTGAGCCTGTACTTGATCCTGCTGATCCTGTTGTTCATTCTCACTATCATGTTCATTTTCAGTTTCATTTTCAATATTTTCATTCTCATGTTCATTTTCATTTTCTTCGGTTGTGATTATAGTAGTAGTAGTAGAAGAAGTACCTTCAATCAATTTAATAACATATTCAAATTCACTATCCACAATCCCATCAATAATTAAACATTCAAGATCTAACCAATTAATATGTTCCAAATTACTTAAATCTCTTGTAAGAAGAGAACTATTATTACGTACCCCAACCAAACCAATCCTATTAAAAATATTATTATTGTTATTGTTGTTGTTGTTGTTGTTATTGTTGATATTGTTGATATTGTTGTTAATTTGATTTGGATTTGGATTATAAGGATGACAATAAAAACCTTTAAATTCAAATCTTTTAATATTTGATAATTGATTCAAAATTTTTGAAGAGATAAAAATATTTTCTTTAAAGATGATAGTTTTTAAAGAATATTTATGTTTTAATAAACTTCTTCCAATAAATTTATTAAATTCCCTTTTAAATTCTCTTATATAATTACTATTATCACCACCAATACCAACACCAATACCATTACCAAGATAATTAAAATTTGGACAATAAAATTCAATTTCTTTTAAACCATTTTGTTTTAATATAAAATTTGATATACTACGATTTATACCATTACCAACACTTTCAGCGACACCATTCTTATAATTTAAGGTTAATTTTTCTAAATTTTGACAAACAGAACTTAAATCTTCAAATATCAAAGTACCCAAATCCACAGGTGAACATTCCAAATGAGATAAACAATTTAATCTTAATAAAGCATCAGAATAAATGAATATTGGAAATATTGGATGTTCAATATGTTTTAATGTTATATTATATTTCATAAATATTTTCCATAATTCTTTTTCTAATAAAGTTTCATTATGAGTGAAAGAAAATTTTGGTGGTAAAGTCATCATAGTGGTTGATTTACGATCAATAAAAGGGTTTGATAATAAACATGTAATTAATTTATGAACAGATTCTGTTGATATATATTGAATAAATTCAATATAATTAAACATTGGTTTCTTTTCATCTCCTTTTAATTTAAAATTGAATTGTGAATTTGAATAATTATAATAATTATAATAATGATTATCTAATCTATTATTATAATTATTATTATTATTATTGTTATTGTTATTGTTATTGATATAATTGTAATTATCATAGTTGTTATTATTGTTAAATAAATTATTAATATTTTCCAAATTTTTTTGTAAAAATTCCAAGTTCTCTTCAGGGATACAATAAAATATTGTACGACTTAAGGAATTCCATTGATTTTGATTAAATTTAAAAGAGAAATCATCATGTAAAGGTTTTTTCCATAATATTGGTATCGCAGTTTGACACCAAATTCTGTTAACCAATAAACAAGAATAAAGTGATTTTGTATCATTTGTTAATTTTTCAAGAATTTCTAATAAACAATCTAATGGAAGTTGGGGACATCCCATGTTTATTTATAAGATTTTTGGGGGAGAGATTAAGATAAAGGAGAAAAAAAAAAAAAAAAAAAAGAACCTTTCAAACGCTATAAGGAAAATTTAAAGTTTATATTTATGGTTACACATTTATCTTTTTTTATCATTTTCATCAAGATTTACTTTGTCATATAATTTTGCCGCCCCTACTTGGAATTCATACTCCGATTTTGCCTATTACGATATCTGATATGGGAATTAACTTGTGGATCATAATGACTAAATGGGTTACGTAACTTAATAATATTGACGCAGCATTAAAAAAAACTGCGTAATCAAACCGAATATATAATATACAAATAAACCAACATACAATGTACCCCTTACAACCCATTTTCGGCCTAAAAATATATTTAGCACGTAAAACATAAATTCCCATATCGTATTTTCTTTACAAATTTATTTTATTCAAGAATTTCTGAAAGTACGGGAAAATGTTTACATAAACATTCTCTGAATTTACACAAAGCACAATACTTGGTATCCTTTACCCAAAATTTAATTTGTTAGGAACAAAGCAATAATCACAAATCAAATTATATATAATATATTTAATTATAACTTACTAATAATTTCTTAAAAGTTCCATTTTTTGGAACTTTAATGTGCGTAATTCCATTTTCTACCTCCTTAACAATTTTATCAGAGTTCATATCAGGAGATAATAAAATTGGACGAACAAAAGCTTGATATCGACGACCTTTTTCCGGTGATGAAGTATTAGAATGATGTTTTCTTTTTCCAAATAATACTAGAATGTGATCAAAGACTTTATATTCGATATCGAAATCCTATATATGTGTGTGAAGTACATTCGCGTTACTTAAAATTTTAATTCTAGACATCGTAATAAAAATAATTCATACGTGTAAATCGATTTTGATATCAAGTTCTTCATAACTATTAGAAGTAATAATTCCGTTGGAACATCGAGAAGCATCCTCATCTATTTCAAAATTATCAAAATCATCAATCTTATTATGAGTCTCTTTTTCAGACTTTTCAGTTTTTTCAGTTTTTTGAACTTCCATTTTTTTTAAGAAAAATAATAAATAACGAAAATAATGAATATATATATATATATATACATATACATATATTGCATATCATATTACCCGTAAAAGTTTACATGACATATAATCAATTACATCATGAGTAAGAAATAGGAAAAAATGGCGTAAAAAAAGTAAAAAAAAGTTAAACTATTTTAACTTTTTAACTATTTTATAACGAATGAGAAAATTTTAATTGGTCATATGATATACACTGACAATCACAATGTATTATGCTCTTTATTAAAATAAGTTTATATTTACATAACATATATTTTAAGTTATTTATATTACAAATTGAACAACCTAAATCGCATGATAAAATTAAATAATGTTTCACTTTATTTAGCCACACATTTTTTTAATGTTTATACTCAAATAAGAAATATATTTTTTTTTTTTGTAAAATTCAAGTAAAAAGAACACATCCTTTATGTTTACAAACTTGGAGCATTACTTTATTATGAACTTTTCGACTGAAATAATTTTTTTTTTTTTTCTCTCCTCAAAATGAACATTTTTTATTTTTAGTTTTCTTTTACCAATTAAAATACATGAGCCAAAATTAGATATTTGAGTTTTTAGGCACGTGCCAAGACACTGCATAGAAAATATTCACACGGAAATACAAGATTACAAACTATATAAAGGTGAGATTTTGGACAGTGATTCTTTAAGAAAAAAAAAAAAAAATTTTTTCTCGTCAATTCCTTTTCTTTTTTCTTTTCCCCCCTTCATTAAAAAGAAATCTTTAATTTCCTATACGCGAAAAAAAAACAAATTTTTTTTTTTATTAATAAATATAACTCTTAATATGATTAACGTTACAAAATTCGCACTTCTCGTTATCGTTCCGTTATTAATTTATAATACAATTCCTTCGTTCACTGAAATGAATTTCGATTTCAATCAAATAATATTAGGACCAAAATCTGAAGGAGTCAAAATAACCAGTTTCAATAATTGGGTTGACCCTATACCTTCCATGTTGGTTATGCTCGATGAAATTGGCTGGTTTCCTTAAAAGAATTTTGTATCGTACTCAACCCAGTAATACAACAAAAAATATGACAATATATAAGACATTTACGCTACGCAAATTTTAATGGACAAATAGAAAAAAAACCTCATTATTTTTAGAAGGAAGGGATGGGAATTTAGAGGGGGAAGTAATGTAATAATAATAATAGTAATAGTAAATTTTTTTTTTTTTTTTCTTCTTATAACGTTAGTAATAGTAATTAAATAATAATAATAGATTTTATTATATATATATATTTCTGTTATCCAGTTTGTATATATATAAATAAATATATATAATTTTTTTTTTCTTCTTATTTTTAATTTTTTCTTTTATTTTTTTTCCTCTGTGATATTATTTATCACGAATTAAAAAAAATTCCTTAACAAATAAACTTTACACTAATCTATAACTACCTTACAATGTGAAATTTACACTTTTTCTTGGCAATCTCTTGGCATAAAGTTTCTTTCAAAAGTAAATATTACATACTTACATGTTACAATGCATTTTATATACATAATGTTATACGAAAAAAATTGATCATTTAAAGTTTGAAATTTTAGACCTTGTGACCTTTTATTATTGAAAAAAAGAATGAAAATATATGGAATGAACGAAAAAAAGATTACGGGAATGAAAATCTATTTATTTATAGGTTAGGTTGTACTACCATCTCCCTAATCAAATATTAACACAAGAAAAAATTGAAATATTGAATACTGTAACGTAAATAAAAGAATTTTTACTGTGGCTAAATTTTGTCAGCCCTTCAAAAAATGTTTTGATTAATAATCAACAGGATCTTCCGTAAATCCTCTCAAAGTCTAATGCATGCAATAAAATATTCTTTTTTTCTTCTATTTTTCTTCTTTTTTCGATCTTTCTTTATTGAACACCTTTATTAATTTAGATAATAATAGATATTAGTTCATACAAATGGTATTCGTACAAAATCCTGAATGTCTAACCAAAATTAGGATACTAAATATCATTATTAAATGAATATATTACTATATATATAAAAATGATTAACAAATAACAAATTAAAATGAATCGCCCAATTCCTTGTCAATTTTCACATGAACTTGTGAACTTCATTACCTTATACGTCTTTAAAAGTAAAAGAGATTTTTTAATAATCTGGTAAAGAAATCGAGTGGTGTATTAGCATATAAAATAATGGATGATTAATAAGGGTATAAAGAATCGGGTGGTGTAAATTGTAAAATAATGGATGATGTTGGTAGTCGGCAATTTAAGCAGCGCATTGATAGAAACCAGCTATTACTCAAAGCATTACAAATCCCCGTATAATTCCCGTATAATTAATAGATTGATAAAATATTAGAGATAAATTTAAATAAAGCTCGTACCAACTAATACGTAACACTATTAAAGTACAAATATTTTATACAATATGACAAACTCTTTCTGATTGGTCGCCAATATAACGCAAGACGCCTTTTAAGTAATTTTACTTGATTGTTACCCGAATAAGATTTCAAATGTCAAATTTATGCATTACATATTTCATCAGAGTCATTAATAATGTAATTTATTTTCTTTCGAATTACTCTTCATTTATATAATGCACTATACGTTCATATTGCGTCAATGACTCACTTTAACTGTTAACCAATAATTCGTCAAGACAGTCCTTTAAAACCATAGAACGCAGTTATGACCTTGATTTAAGGAATAATCAATGTAAGAATTTGTTAATTTAAAAATTGTTATATATTTGAAATATATCATGATGAAGCCTACGTGTTGCTGCACCTATATATGTAAACGAATTTCTTTGATCGAAATAATTTATTTTATATTTTTCGAAGCAACGAGTGCCTTTTGTTTTAATGTGCTTTGTTGCCCATGACACATGATGACGTGGTGTAACCATTGCTTTTTTTTATGTAAAACAAGGTTTCCCGCAACGTGCGCCCATACGATCGGCTGTAATGAATAAACAAAGTAATCATTTTTTTTTAAAATTAATTCGATATTCCATTATATTCTAAAATGAATAAATAATGTGATTTACATACGCTAAAACATTCACATTGTTAATCAAATACCATAAAAATTCCATGGAAATACCATATTAAGTTATCATTCTGTTGTCAAAAGCGAGATGGTTATGACTAAAAATTGTTTCATTTTATGTTAAAATATTTTTAAAAATAATTAAAATAATTATAATAATTATATAATAATAGTAATAACCTCATATCACGAATTTTCAAAAAGGCTTCGAATTTTTGAAATATTAATTTCTTAATTTGAAAATTCTTTCCTTGAAAAATGAAATTTTTTTAAACAATCAAATCATTATATTTTTATATTTTTTACTCGTTTTAGATGAAGTCCGGTCGATCAACGTCATCATAACAAAAGTTTACCTTATATGATCAATTTATGTAACACACAAAAAAAAAGTCGGGTCACGAACAAATTCTATAAATATACGAACTTTTTTTTTTTGAACCTTCTACCCCAAATATACGAAACATATAAAAACGTGTCTTTCGTGTCCAAGAAGATAAATTATATATTGATTAAATATAAGAATTATTCGAAATGATTCATAAATTTTTTCGTGATGTTTGCAATTTCGATCTTCCCAATTTCGATCTTTACAATTTCTCAAGTATTGATTTTTTTTTTTATATATAATTTTAAAAATTTGAAAAAAAAAAATAGAGTTTTTAAATTATTATAATAGGAATTTAAATACTCTTCTTTTTCTTTTTCTTAAATAATAATAAGCTGAGCATCATCGGGTTATTCATGATGCTTGCAATCTTCCCAATTTCATTCATTATAATTTCTCAGGTACACCCGTTCACATAAGTGACAATAATTATTTCGGCACTGAGAATTATTATACAGAACAGATCTCTAATCAAAACACACCTCCTAAGCAATACGTTTCGTTAAGAGAGATTGAAAATAATATGGTATCTCCGATGAACAAAGTAAGCAGAAAACATTTTGTAATCATACAGAATGTAATTCTGAAAATTAATAGTATGGAGTGTTCGTATTTATCCAGTTATTAAAATAGCAGATAACGCATCGCGTTTCAATTCTCTAACTAAAGCGCATCACACCGAACTTTCGGTATTTATTGTTGAATTTCAACAAGGACAGGTTTTCATTACACCCCGAAACCATTTTTAAGGTTAGGGTTAGGTTAGGTTAAAAATTTCAAACGTTACAAAATATAGAAAAAAATAACTTACATGAATTATAATAACCTCCTGAAAATTCCGATGAGTTAAGGTAGATCATATTAATCAAGTTACTATTCGTTATGATGATCCTATGACGTCTTCTCGCATGGATGGTACCATGAATTATTTCCTCAGTGATCAAAGTAAGTACTTAATTTTTTTATAAAAAAAAAAACATTACAACCTTATAATTAATATATTGAATTTTCATATTTAATAGTACAATCACAAGTTTATGTTAATGGAATTAAATTCCTTAAATCTAATAAAAAGGTAAATCTATTAGCGCCCGTCATTCTATACAAATTAACATTTTTAATATATTTGATATTACAAATTTATTTATTTAATAAAATTTTCCATTAGAATTATCAGATAGTAAATGAACCGATGAATCCTGATAAAATTAAATTTCTTTGTAATTATCCTGGATGTACGAAACATTTTAAGGATAATCATCATTTAAAAGTTCATCAGAGAAAACATACGGGAGAAAAACCATTCACTTGTGATTATCAAGGATGCAAAAGAAGATTTTCTCAAAAGAATAACTTGAAGACACATCAGAGGATACATAAAGGCGAAAGACCTTACGAATGTGAAGTTTGTCATAAAACGTTTAGGCAGCCAACTAATTTGAATGCGCATCGTAAAAGGATTCATGAACCTTTTTTATTGTGGTGAACAAAATGTCACATAAATTTCTTACTTTTTTGTAGAAATAATTTATTATTTTTTTTTTTATATTTAAAGTATAATATTTATTATTATGTATTATTTATTACTTTTTGAAATTTGTTATTACTCAAACCTACCGTATTTTTTTTTTTTAGAGATAATGGGCAAGGCATTTTACCATATTTGATGATTGTTATACATACAAATTTGATTATACAAAATTTGTTTAACGTTTCACCAATAATTAAATTAAAATCACTCGGTCTTTATACTCCGATTTCACTTTTTAATCTTTCAATCAAATTTTATTTTTTCTTTAAAAATCAAGAAAAAAATTCTTTTATTTTAATTTATTTAATTTATTTTTTTTTATAATAAAAAAAAACATTATGTCTGATCCAATTTCCCGTGTATCTGATACTGCAACTAATGGTCTTGCAATAGCAGCAACCGTATCGAAAGAAGCTGCTGTAGTAGCTGATGTTTTAACACCATTTATTCCATTAATATCAGAAATAGCGCATATAGTACAAGATATTATTAATCTTTATCAAACTGCTGAACATAATAAAAGAATATGTGGTTCTTTATTATCAAGGGCTACAGCAGCTGAAACTGCTGTTAATATGTTAAAAATACGTAGACTTGAAAATGAGGATGTATTTAAATCAAAAGAATATTATAGAAATTTTCAAAAATTAGTTATGGTTATTGGTAAAATTAAAAATTTTATATCAGAAGTATCTCAAATTAAAGGGTTAAGAAAATTTTTAGCTGCTCATTCTATTGAAGAACAATTTCGTAATTTAACTGAAGAATTTGATGGTTTAATGCGTGTATTAAATTTTACTATGGCCGTACAAAATCAAATTCAAATGGAAGAAGATCAAAAAGTAATTAGATCGGATATTAAAGAAATGACTAAAGTAAGTTTTTATAAAATTTATTTTATTTTATTTTATGTTTGTTATTGTAAAATTGATTTTTTTTTCACTTTTTTTTTTTTTAGTATTTACAAACAATTGAAGGTGGTATCGTTAATGAATTGAAAGAAATTAGTTCTTCATTAGATGATATTACTCAACTTAATATAGCTTGGCAAAAAAAGGTTTTACATGATGATGATAATGTTTTAGCATCCGCAACAATTAAGATTACGGAATTACATGATCCTCCTGAAACGGTAAAAAGAGGAACAAAAGTTTATAAAAAAATTCGTATGGGAGAGGAAGTAGCTATTAAAGAAAAAATTTTGGGAAATGATGAAAAGAAACTTATGAATGATATCCTTAGTCAAGTGGTTATTTTAAAGAAATTAAAAGAATCTCAATATATTCTTCAATTTTATGGTATTGCACAAGATGCTAGTGCAATGTATATGGTAACAGAATGGTGTGAATATGGTAATTTACAAGAATATTATCAAGGTTATGGTCCTCTTGATTGGCATGTAAAAACTCAACTTGCTGTTGATGTCGCTCGTGGGTTAACTTTTTTACATACTGTGGCCATTTTACATCATGATATTCGTTCTGAGAATATTCTTATCACTATTCATCATCAAGCGAAACTTGCTAATTTTACTTTAAGTCGTGGATTTAATGATCCTACTAAAAACATGATGCCTACAATTGATACTGTTAGATGGATGGCACCTGAAAAATTGAGAGATCATAGAAAAAATCCTTATACTGCTAAATGTGAAATTTATAGGTAATGAATCATTAAAAAAAATTTTTTCAATTTTTTATTTTTTTTTTTCTATCATTTAAAATTGATTTTTTTTTTTATGTAAAAAAGTTTTGGTATGTTATTATGGGAAATTGCAGAGGAAAAATTGCCCTTTCATAATGAAAAAGATATATTAGAAATTAGAAACCTTGTCGTACAAAAAATGGTTCGTCCGGTATTTAACAATAGTGTTCCACATGAATGGGTTAAAATTTCTCATAAAGGTATCGAAAGATTTATTACAAATTTATCCTTTCTGTTTATTAGTTTATTTTTTTATTAAAATAATCTTTTTTTTTTAAATAGCATTACAGGATAGCCCATCCGCGCGTCCCCCACTTAAAGATATGTTCATGACACTTAATCATCTTTATAGAAAATTCTTACCTTCTCAACCTATAAGACCAACTTTAGTAAAATTACCAACAGAAGAAGATTTACCAAGTGATGATGATGATGATTTCGCTATCGAAGATTTTTCTGCTAATAATATTTTAACAGTTAGGGAAGCAGTATTAGAACATAAAAGGAGAGATGGTGATAAATTAAAGGCCTGGGAAAGTTTCAAATATTATGCTGAAGAATTTAGTGATGTTACAGCAAGGTATTTAAATCTTTATTTCGTTTGATCTTTAATGATGATATTTTTTATTTTGTTTTATTATATTTATTTATTAATTTATTATTTATTTAATAGTTATTGGAAAGGATATTATTTATATTATGGACTTAGTCCAATTAATAATCCTTCAGATACAGAAGAAAAGAGACAGAGATTAGTAGAAGCAGCCAAATTATTTAAATCTGCAGCAGATTTTGGATTACCGGATGCTCAATTAAGATATGGTCATTGTTTATGGTCAGGTGATGGCGTGAAGAAAAGTATTCCACAAGCAATTGAATATTTTCAATTGTCTGCCGATAATGAGAATTCTACTGCCATGTATAATATTGGTAACGTTTATTATCACGGTCTTGGCGTGACAAAAGATGATGAAAAAGGGATAAAATATTTAAGATTAGCTGCATTAAGGGAACAACCTAAAGCTCTTGAAATGTGTAAACAGAAGGGTATCTCTTTAGTTTAGGATTATGTGGTTTATTTATATATATATATATATATTAATATTATTATTATTATTTATTTGTACTATGTAATAAAAATATGATATTATATAAATAAATATGATATAATAATTCCATTGCTATTTATTAAGAAAGTGGGCATAATACTGGAGTTGATATTATAATTCATTATCGTCCAATTTTTCGTGCAATTCAAGCTCTTATTCAACGGCCAAAAGTCGCCAAAGATTTTGTTTAAACAAAGGGAACACAAAATTTTCTAGGGTAGCAGAAATTTATGAAGGAAATTGGTGGTCATGACGTGTAAAAATGTAATTATTGAATCAACAATCTATATATAAATTGCTTATTACTAGATAGTTTTTGCACAAAGTAGTTGTCAGTACGAGCTAATGACACAAGTTAAACTGAAATACATATCAACATAAGTTTTGAGGAAGGTGAGGGAGGATCTTTATCTGCGAATTGCTGGAAAACTACAAGGAGAATTATGGATCATTCATTCACTCTTTCGTATAAGGCGTAGAGAAATAACAATTAAGTTTAGACTGTGGCAACCAAGATGTTTCACGTTTTCTTTAAAAAGGTAATTATGCAATTATTTATTTTTATACGTCAATAATGTCAGTAAACTTGCAGATCCTGGTTCAGAGAAACATTTATTGGCGTTACTTAGTCCAACCACTAAAGTGATCCTCAAAAATGATTCGTCTACTGATTTTTAAGTAGTTAGATCATAGAAGATCGACCCGAGAATTAAGGTGAAAATAAATCATAAAGATTTTTGGTTAACTAATGATATTTGGCGACTAGACTAAATCGTCCAAATTTGATGGCTTTAGCGGTTTAAAAGTTGTCAAGAAGTCCAAACCTTGTCAAAAGAATTATTTATTAAATGTATACATATACGGTATTAAAACTACGTAGTTCATGTGACTATACAATAAAGCTTTCTAGAATAATCAAAAAAAGATTCTAATATAAAAACTTGTTAATCTACTTACTGCTACTATCAGTCTCCAGTTTTGTGATTTGTATCATGTGACTTTCCCGCGAGTCTTCTTTCTTCTGCTTCTTGGAATTCGAATTTTTGCTCTTGAACCGTGAGAGTTCTATCAATTCCGTCTGGCCTGATTTTACCCTTTTGTGGCTACGATGTTGTAACTTGAAAATCCATACTCTTTTTCATCTGTTTTAAGCGCCTTAATTTACAATACTATCAAATTTAGTATTTCCAATTTTAAAATAAATAGACTAAATACCACACTTTGATTTATTTATTTTTTTTTTTAAAAAAAAAAAGATAAGATAAACTCAAAAAAGAGCCAAGAAAAAAAATTTCCATTATGATAATTTGATTGATATTATCTGAATTCAATCACTCAATGGATCAAACAAAGAAATAATTTTACACCCCCACAAATCGTTAATAATAACAACTTTCAACACAATTCAATTAATAACGTTAATAATGTAGAAATTTCTAATACAAATCTTGCGCCTCAAAATACTAAAAAATCTATTATGTTACGTATACAACTTTTGAATAATATAATTGATTTATCTCACATTCCTAATGATCAGTTTCCACATCTGTAATATTCAATCTTTAATTAATCAATTAAGCAATTTCAACCTGTTAATTCTTAAAATAACAACAACAATCTTTTGATAACATGCCCCAAGTATATTCAAATGATAACGATTCAATCGAAAATATTCTTGATCATATGCAAGATACAAGTTGATGAAAGTTCTACTATGTTAAACCCCTCCAAACAGTCATGTGAATCGTCAATCACCTTAAAACAAATAATTAGAAGTAATTTAATATAATATTGATTAATTGATAAAACAAATTACCCTATAGAGCAATAATTTTTATGTTCTATTTATATATATATATATATATAAAGAGATCATAATTATGAATAATTAAATGACTCTAAAAAATTATAATTTAGATGTTAGATATGTAAATTTGATAACTTTTATATTACATAAAATATCTAAACACATTCATTAAATAAAATAAATCGATAGAAATGTGCAATGCATGTTCTTTGTCATTTTATCGATTTAATTTCTTCTTTTTACTATTTATTTTACAATTTATAAAAGTTTGAAGATTCACCGATTTATATAAATTTTTATTTTAAAAATATAATGTTGTTCAGCGCGAAAGAACAAATTAAAGAGTCCTACGCGCTAAATCTAAGATGCCATGATTGTTTTAACGTATATTATACACGTGATCGTTAGATACAGTATGTCCATACTTCTATGTGAGAATGCATATTTTAAATTTAAAAATTATTCTTAAAATTAAAATACTTGCCCATTTCTGTCATTCTTTTCACGTTCACTTGTAATCTACACCTACCAATTTCTGTTATTTCGTTCACGATCACTTGCAAGACGCACTTCACGATTATTTCCCTTTCAATATTTAGAATTCGTAATTTGAGCTGGTTTATTATTAATATTAATTTATCGAATATATTAATTTATAGAACAAATCGAACGTTCTTGCTTAAATTTATGTATGAGAAATAACTATTCATATATATATATAATTTTATTTTTACAATATAATTCTGTTAACCCTTGCCTTGTCTTCGTGGCAAAAATTATCTTTTTGATTCCTGTATAACATCCTTGTTTGACCCACCTATATGTAATACAGTACATGCGCGTGGGTCAAAAAAATAACACGAGGAGAGTCAAAAAGGTAATTTTTGCGTCTTCGTGTTGCTTGTCACGTGTGCTAATTATGTAGCATTGCAGTGATTGCACCTGATCAGAGACCCGGATTTATTCCGATATTAAATCGCAAATTTTTATCACGATAACGAAAAAAATTCCGATTTTATTCCGATAAACAATTACCAATTATAGTAAGAAACATTTGATAATTCTAGCCGGCCTATATATTAATGCAGGCCAACTTAGGTTGCGCTAGTGACACGACAATAATTTTTAGTCAAAAACTGTATAGATATTGCAAAATTGCAAAAATCACATTTTTTAGTTAGACTTCTATCACGATATAGTCAATAAAATATGCAATAATGATTGGCTAGTTGTCACGTGCCGGAATAAAATTGTTAAAAATCATAAAAATTCCGTTTTATTCCATAATACAGCAAAAATTCTGATTTATTCATTTATTATAAAAATGGAATTTTCCCGGGTCTCTGCACCTGATCTTCCGCGATTTTTATTGATATTTTCAAAATTTTTAATAATTTTTTACGCATTATTGAAATTGTAAATATCTTGAACACATTAATATAGTTTTTTTGTTGATACTGAATGATCACCGTTTTCAAAATAATGTACGCAGTTAAATTTGAATAAAAAAAAAAGAAAACCGAAAACTGGACGAAAACCGGACGAAATATGGGACAATAAAAAAAGGATGAAAACCGGGCGAATATTGGTATTCGAATATACAATCACAAATAAACTGCGTACACCATTTTGAAAACGGCGATAAGCGTTTTAGTAATGGTTTGATTTATTTTTTAAATTGACCCCACAAAAAAAAAATAATAAATAAAATAAAATATTTCAAAAATTTAAAATTTTAAAAAAATCTCACTATGCAAAAACCTCATTATCTGACAGTGGAAATAAAAATATTCAAACTTTTGATGGAAATGCTGCTGTTATATTTAACAGAAGATTCATTTATAGGAAAGATTTCATAAGTGTATTAAATTTTGTTAATTTGTGGCAAATTGGAATTTTATATTCTTCATTAAAAATAAACAAATGTGCCAAGAAAATTTATATTTATTAAAATTTTAATGTTTTGTAGATATAAAAATAAAATAAAATCTTAAATTATTTAAATTTAGCATAAATGTGATAGTGAATTAGCAGGATTAGAAATATCTTAATAAATTATTTAAATAAAACCAAAAAATCACTTATTTCTGTAGTTTCAAAATAATATTATAAAACGTGTAAAAAAAATTATCCAAAATAACTAAATTTAATCTTAACTTGAATCAAATCATAAAAAAATAGACTATTCGATCAATATTCATAATGGCCTTCAACTACCGCAGAAAATAGCGAAACAGATTCGTCAAAATAAGTTTCTAAATCTTCGAGCATCGTAGATGATGACGAGGTTGTTGGATTATAATAAAATAATTCTCCATTTGTGGGATTAGCTGGTGTAGATAATAACGAGGTTATTGGATTATAATAAAATAATTCTCCATTATAACTAACTGATGTAGTGTCAAAATTATAGAAAGAATAATCGTAGTTGAAGCATTGAGAAGTAGGGATGTAATTATAGACCTCTAAAGTTGAGGGATGTTGCGCATAGTGAGATGTCATGTGGTTTGTAGATGAAGACGACCAATGATCATGTAAAATGCCGTGTGTTGTTGTAGATCTATCGATAGGACCACTGATAGATTTATCAGGCTTATCATTAGATTTTCGTTTGGTAGATCTTTTGGGTCGATAAACATAGTCAGGATAATCTTGCGCATGCTTTAGTTTCTCTTTATCCGCAAGTATTGCCCATCGTAATTTTTCTCTTTCATCTTCATTTCGCCACATTTGACCAATTATTTTTGATGCTTCTGAAAGGGATATTTTTTTATTTTCTATGAGAATATTATTTAATTTTACCCTACGGTACAAAATGAATGAATTTGGTGGTCGAGGAATTTTTTTTTGTTTTTTTATTCGTTTCTTAGACTTATTGGTAAGTATTGTGGATTCTTTTTGTGCAGAACAAGGTTTTAAGCTATCTTCATAAGGTAGTTGATCCGGTTCGAATATATCGAACATAAAAAGATGACAATTCTTTTTTTCCATTCTTAATTGAAAGTTAATGTGATTATGATAATAACAATAATGATAATGATAATGTTGCTTTATATGAAATAATTTATGATTTTTATATTGAATAAAAAATTTTTATTGAAATTTTTAGACAAAAAAAATATCGCTCTTTTATAACTAAAATTCTTTCTTTCTTTCACGTGAAACTTCCAATGAATTATAACATGGTAAAGCAACTAAATATATAAATATATATACATATGTTATAAAGAATATATATTAATTTTATATTAATTCTTACTTTTATTGAAAAGTAAACGGGACAATTGATGTTGAAATGTTTTAATCTCGTTGATCGAAGATCATCTGTTCTAATGTGATATGTGTATGCATAGTAAATTTTGTTTTCCTCACGAGGCATATTTTTTTTAATAAAAAAAACAATGGAAAAAAAAAAGGAATTAGAATTAATAATCACTTTGGGTTTTTAATACACCATAATATTACTGTTAATATTAATATAATGTGTAAAATTGCATAAATGAATGTTCAAACGGTAATATATTTTACCTAAAAAGCAAAGAATATTTTGCCCAAAAACAAAGAAATTCAATGATCTGACAAAATATTATGCGCAATATAACATAATTGACAATCGTAGATTCCATAAACCGATAAGCTGCTATCCCGAATTAGTTAATAGATTGCTTCTTTTAGCGAACAGGTATAGATATCATCTATATACTGTATATATAATCCTTAACTATTACCACGGCTTAACGCTAACCAATTTAAGCATAATACTAATTATTAAACCCCTGCATCAGGAATATTTCTTTTTCATAAATTTTTTTCTTTGGCATTAATGAACCTAATTTTGTAAAGTAATGGATATTTAGATTATCATATTGCAAAAATTGTTTATGCGATCATTGTAATCCAAAATTGTAAGACAAAAAGTAATTATTTTACGGTTATTTGTTCGCTTATGTATGCATGTGCTTTTCATATTTTGGATCGATAATTTGTAAGATTGTTCAGCGATATGTCTTGCTCATTATAATTAACTTATATTTGTTAAAATGAACCAAATTCCAATGATGAAATGAAATGTCTAAACATTATTAATTATAAATAAAAACAAATATGCACTAATAAATTAACCAATAATCGTGAAAAGTTTTTTTCATATACGATGAATTCTTTCTGATAATTTTTTCGGGAAAATGAAAAAAATACTATTTTGAATACTTTTAGAATTGAAATTCTTGCAATTTTATCTAATGGACGTATATACAATATTAGAAGTTGAATTATTCATAAAATATGGAACTACTATTTGACTCTTACCGAAAATAAAAAAAAATAATTTCTATAATATTTCTTTTTTCGTTTTGTTTTTCCTTTTTCCATTGTGTTACACAGGATAAATAATCGTGTAGATCAGGAGAATTTCCCTGTATAGCTAATAGTATACTTTTTAGGACGTACTTCATTTATATCATTCGATTAGTATTATTTATTTCATGGGGAGTTGGAAATAATAGGGTTTTTTTCCCGAAGGGAAAAAAGCCCTATTGTTTTCCTTCCCAGGAAATAAATGGGTAATCCCCTGGAGCGTGTCACTCATTAAATATTAACTATTTTAACTATTTTAAACTAAAATTAGTAATTTTCCGGCTATCTATATGAGACCGGGAAATAACTAAACGAAGATTCCCGGTTATTTATAAACTCAACTAATCACTCGCAATTTTTAAAAATTAGTATGAAGGTGATCATGAGTGACACTTAGTGCGACAGGGGATTACTATTTAAAAATCCAGATATTGTTTGTCAAAACAAGTTTATTTTTGATATTGTTCCGATACTGAAAGAGATTATGATGATGCTCTTCTGAGTCCAAATAAAATTTTGCCGTCCCAAATCACCCTTACTATACCGAATTTTTTAATTATAAATTCGCTATAAAAGGAGTATTTTAAATTGGTACTAACTATAACGGATTAGAATTTATTTGAAACAATAATTTACTATCATTATCTGGTAATGAATTGTCATATTATTGACAAGTAATTATAAAATTCTTCTCCGATGCAACTTGCTCATTATAATTTTATTATAATTACAATATATTAAATTTTTTTAGAATAAAATAAAACATATGAATATCATCAAAATATTATTTTTTCTTTTTCTAAAGTGTCACAAATAAAAATAAATATGCATTAATAAATTAAACTCATATGACATTTTAAGGTTTGTTATTCCGGGAATAGATTTTTTGAACTGAATCTCTAGGTTATACAATGCTTATAAAAACGAAACCATTGTTTGATTCTTTATCAAAGTAAAGAAAAAAAAGGTTTTCTATAATTGTTCTTTTTTCCTTTTTATTTTTTTTCCTTTTTTGTGTTTCACATTTATATCATTCAACTATTATTTAATCTAATTGGTTAATTTGTTCCTTCTAAGTTCAGCACTAAATACGTAATTTAAACTACGTTATATGTACTGTATATTTTCGATGTTTTATTGCATGCATTACGTATGTACAGTTATCGAGAAACAAATTAACTTAAATTTAATCTCATAACAAGATAACAATTTACGTATACAGATTTGATGCTGTCATTGGATCCTGATTTTTTTTTTTGAATAAAATTTGTTTTTTCACATTTTTATTGCATGCATTAGTTTATATCAAGAAACAAATTAATTTCAAAATTTAATCTCATAACAAGATAACAATTTACGTATACAGATTTGACACTGACATTGCCATTTTTTTTTGTATAATAATTTGTTTTTTTCACATTTTTATTGCATGCATTACGTATGTACGGTTATCGAGAAACAAATTAACTTAGATTTAATCTCATAACATACGTATACAGATTTGATGCTGTCATTGGATCCTGATTTTTTTTTTTGTATAAAATTTGTTTTTTCACATTTTTAATGCATGCATTAGTTTATATCAAAAAACAAATTAATTTCAAAATTTAATCTCATAACAAGAAAACTATTTACGTATACAGATTTGACGTTGACATTGCCATTTTTTTTTTGTATAAAAATTTGTTTTTTTACATTTTTATTGCATGCATTACGTATGTACGGTTATCGAGAAACAAATTAACAATTCAAATTTTAATCTCATAACAAGATAACAATTTACGTATATAGATTTGACGCTGTCATTGGATCCTGATTTTTTTTTTATAAAATTTGTTTTTTCATATTTTTTATTGCACGTATTACACATGTTCGATTATCAAAAAACAAATTAATTTCAAATTTTAATCTCATAACAAGAAAACAATTTACGTGTACTGATTTGACGCTGCCATTGGCATTTTTTTTTGTATAAAAATTTGTTTTTTTTCACATTTTTATTGCATGCATTACGTATGTACGATTATCAATAAACAAATTAACTTCAAAACAAGACAATTTACGTATACAGATTTGACGCTGACATTGCCATTTTTTTTTTTGTATAAAATTTGTTTTTTTCACATTTTTATTGCATGCATTACGCATATACGGTTATCAATAAACAAATTAACTTCAAAATTTAATCTCATAACGTTACGTATATAGATTTTGCGCTGACATTGGATCTTGCATTTTGTTTTTGTATGAAATTTATTTTTTCACATTTTTATTGCATTGCATTATGCATGTACGATTATCAACAAATTAATTTCAAAATTTAATCTCATAACAAGATAACAATTTACATATACAGATTTGACGCTTTCATTGGATCCTGCATTTTTTTTGTTTAAAATTTGTTTTTTTTCACATTTTTATTGCATGCATTATGCAAGAAACAAATTTCAAAATTGAATCTCATAACAAGATAACAACTTACGTATACAGATTTGACGCTGACATTGGATCCTGCATTTTTCTTTTTTGTATGAAATTTATTTTTTTAGCACAATACAGTTTTGTGTGAGAAATTTCCGCATGACTGTATAATCTTGAATTGTTTTTCTAAATTCGTATTAATTTCTTGTATAAATGTTTATGTTTACTATTATAGAAAGTATAGAAATGAAGATTAATAAAAAAAATTAACACTTTTGATTTAATATATTTCTTTACACGTTTTCCAAAAACAAAAAAAGCATTTGCAATAAAGAATCTAATTATAGAGAAAATAGTAAAGTCAGTCCTGACTTTAACTTTCTGAAGATCGGTATATTAATATTTAATAATGTACTTATGCTTAGTCTTCCTTCTAAAACTTCGAAGTCAACAAAAAAACTACAGCTTGTAAAAAAAGGTCAAGAAGGATTAGAAAGATTCGTAGAAATTAAATATGCTGAAGATGCTATAGGTTTTTTAGAATGAACTAAATTGAAAAAACTATTACAATAAATAAACTTAGTGATCATACTGTGTATGGCATAACTTCCACAATTATATTTTTGGAATTTTTACACAAAGACAATTATACAAAAAAAAATTTTTTTTTATACTTAGGACAAACAGTATGCCCCAGGGAACACCAAATAATTTCAACATAGATCTATGGGAGATTCAACAACGAATCTGGTGAGTGTTGCTCATACATTGCTGTTACATTATTATTGATAATTCCTAATTTTTTTTCTTCTTCCAGGAATAAATTACCAGCAGTCATAGTATGTTTTATATATAGCATTTGAAAATTCTATAATTCCGACATCATCAATCAACTTAAATCGCAATAATATCTATAGTGCAGGATCTTTTATAACAAAGTGGAAAATCAAGACTTTATTATTGAGAACTTTGTGGAAAAATTTGCTATACTGCGGCTAACAAAAAAATTCATGTAAAAAAATGTAAAATGTAAAATTTGTTGGTAATAATAATACGTTAAAGAATAAAATAATAAAATGAGAGACAACTTGCGTCACATGATTATTACTATCTGTGATTGAAATGTCAACTCGCCAAAATTTTTATGACCCCATTACTTAAATTATTTGACCCTCTTCAGTGGTCCTGTGAGTTTTTAGTATACGAGTTACATGAATGAATAAAAAAGTGCCGAGAAAAATTCCCTTGTGGCCGTATCATGTGATATACGTGATCTTTTTTAATACGGATATCCGATGTTGACTGAAAAAATTAAAATATCTCTTTGAGATCAATGTATTATAAGGTTATTGATTACAAGAGAGCGAAACTTTTAGATGCTTGATCAACGAACTCCTTAATTTTTTGTATCCTTTCTGGAATAACAATTTCCGGTTTTTGGTCATACCATACCTCAAGAAGAATGATTCCACTATCCAGATTATCCAGACAAATGCATCTTTTTTGCCAATCACGAACATCCTTATACCAGCTAGTGCTATGAAGCCGATGCTGAGCCCCTTGCACCTTCAATTGCAATTCGATATTTTTGGAAGCATAAAGCTCTAATCCTTGCATGAAAGAGGGGCGATACTCAATTATCGGCTCCTCATGAAGAATTTCCTTAGCTATCTGGATGCATCTAGTCTGAAATGTGCGGGTTTTCTCAATTCTCTTTCTGCCCAAGCCTGTTCTAGTTTATAATTCTTTCCAAGAGTTGAGTTCAGCATGTTCCTGCCTCGCCTGCGTGTTTGCAACCTCAAGCTCAGTGATTGCGCTGTCTCAATACTTCAAGCTCGGATGGGTTAGAATTGCTAACTGACATGATTGATTATGTTTTACACAAGATATAAAATATTCAAAAGTCCGTTAGTATATATAGAAGACATGACATAAACAATTAGGTTATGCATTCTGATGTATTTTTTGCCAAGAAAAAATTTTATTCAAAGTTATGTTGTGAATTTAAAAGACTTGCTTTATTAATACATAAACAAAAAATAAATACAAAAATTTGATGTCTATGCTAGTATACACAATTACTCTTGTTTTTCGAAATTCATTGCCGGCTCCTTCTCAACATCCACCCTATCCTTCAATAACCCAACAATGACTTCACATTTTTATGCAACTCTTTTTCTTCCCCCGAACTTCCTTCAAAGCAGACTCGGAAAACCGAATATTAAGGGGTCCTTATTCGTACATGAAATTCCATTAGAAGTAAATAAGATAAAATACCATTCCGTGGCTGTTGTAACGATTCCGTAGATATAGTCGAAATCATCCCCAAACGCTTCACCCGACTTACGTTTTCTCTTATTTTTTATTCACCTGTAATGCACTTTCACATTGGACCAGGTTCTGAGCGATAAACATTGGTCAAAGATCTATAAGATCTCTCGCTCAATAAACATTGGTCAAGGATCTGAAAGATCGCTTACCCAACGAACATTGGTCAAGGATCTGAAAGATCTCTTACCCAACGAACATTGGCCAGTTAAACCAGTTATGATGGTTGTGTATGAAACAAATAAGAATATTATAAATATCAACAGGCTAAGAAGATTGATGACTGCGAATAAGTTGGTTTGGCGAATTAATAGGACGAGATTTTGTGAGATTGTTATGAGGTTAAGTTTGAGGAAGTTTTGAGGTTCATGAAACCCATAACCACTTAATGTAGCTTCCCTTCCGTGATGCAAATAAGTTCCTCGAGGCCTTGATTGCGTAATCAACTCGACCAGTATTTTCTTCGCCAACATCTTCGAGCCGAGGAGTTAAGGTAAGCTCTTTATCAGTTATTCTTTTGACAATATAGAGCGAGGCATGAAGAATGGCCGAAATATATTCACACCGCATGGCTTCTTTGCTATCGGCAAGTAAAGTTCCCATATTTCCCAACCTGCGCTTTATTTCCTTTACACATTTTTGCAACTCCTCATCTTAATCTTTGAGTAGGTATGTTTCTTAGAACGCAGAATAAAAAAAAAAGTTAGCAAACACACTCACATAATAGCTCATAACTAATGTTCGTTGTTAATAAGCAAGACTTACTTGGTGGAATTGGCGGATTGTGCCTATCCCAATACCATCAACTCCATATTTCGCTAACACCTCTTTCAAGTCTTTCTGGTCTTGTACGAGGAAAACGCACGCTTCTTTTTATCCTTACACTCCTTAGCAAAAAATCCACAAGATCTGATGCAGGTCCACCTTTCATGCCATAACTTCTAAGCTCTTCTTTGGTTATCTTGAGGAAGGTACGTCCACTAATTCTCTCATTCCCGATTATATCAAAATCCTCTTAAGTCTTCCTATCCCCGCAAAAACGAGATAAGTTCTTCCGTATTATATTTTTTATGTCTGAAAACTAACACACCCGACGAAGTTAGCGTTTTTATATGGTTATATGGCTCGGATAAAAAATGTGTTACGTTCCGGACCGAAAAAATTTATTTTGGAGCGTTAATATATTATGTTTTTATGTCGCAGTCGCACAGGCATTGCATCATTACACGTGACTCGCTTTCTCATTTACTGGTAAAATATGAGACTCAACTCTCAAAGATAATTTGAAATGACTATATATAGATCTTCATAATATTTAAAACAATACAATTCTTTTCGCAAAGTTCTTTCTTAAGTTGATCATGTATCATCTACTTCTTAAAGTCTCTTTCATTTTTGTAAAAATACTTTATATGTTGCTTATACTATTTACCTTGTACTTCTAAAGCAATTCCATACTGTAAATAGTAGATGTTAAGTTCTAGTTCTTAAGGGTATTCAGATGTTTTCAAGAAATCTGGTCAGTGGATACTGGAAAGTGGGCCAAGAATATTAATTATGATTTTACAACACAGATTTTTATGCAATATGGACACCATATTTTAAAGAGCTTTATACAATTAAAACTTGAAAACCATTTATGACCCTTATTATAATCTATTGCATTGAAACACAGAGATTTATATATTTTGTAGAAAAACATATACCTTTTCTACTGTTGGCAATTTTTTTAGCTTTTAAAAGACCACAGAAAAGATTGCCAATATATTGTATGTATCATCTTTCCATATTTTTATTTGATAAAGGGTTGTAGAATATTTATGATCTTTGGCATATTTCTAAAGCATTGGGATATCTGTATTAACATATTCTATAAAAAGGTACTTACCACCTCATTCTTGTGTAATATTATTTGCTTATTTTGCTATATCAATATTGAATCATCATTAATGATGCTATATATTATATCTTTAAATTGGGATACATAATATAATATATTCTTGTACCAGAATAATCTTTTGACTTGATATGTTCTGATATAATATGTCTTTGTACTGGGATAATCTTTTGACTTAGTATAGCATGTTTTCTGCCTGGTGTATTATAAGTTCAGTTTAACATCAAGTTTCCTTAATAATATCTTTTGCTAAAGCCTTTCACTTATAACCTTCTTTATACTGCCATTCAAGAGGATTCTGTTTATTAATATACTCAGTTGCAAAGCAAAGACCTCCTTTCTTTTCTGCAAACTTTTTCATATCTTCAATTATTCAAGTACAACAATTTTCAACTGCATATCATGGGTACCATATTTTTTATTCTTTACATTAAAATGTTTTGCAGACCATAAATGATCCTTGACATATTTCCAAAGTATTGGCATCTGACAATTGATATATCTTTTAGAGATGCATTTACCTCCTCTGCTATATGTGATCTCTTTAGCAACATTTAAAATTAATTTTGCCATTAATATTTTACATTAAATTTTAAAAGGTTGATAAACTTGAAAGTATAATATTATTTTATTTTATGCTTTATTTCTTTCTTTAAACAAGATCTACTCTAATATTTTCTATTAGTTTCATTTTTTACTTAACCAGCCGATCTTTTTTTCACATACAGTCAACTCCCTCTATAGTCACTCCCGTTATAGTCACATTCTACTATATAGTCACACCAGTTGAATGTTCAAAACACTTTATTATTAAAATCTATCCTATATAGTCACAATCTATCTA